TTTGGCTCTCTTAATTGGAGCAATGTATGGCTTCTCTTAAAGTCAATAACTGATGATTGTCCATAATTATTAATACGGTTTGAAATTGAAAAGTGAAGTGCTATCAAGACTCTTAATCAGTTCAAATGCACAACTCTATAAACTACTGGAATGCAGGAAGAGATAAAATTCTTTATCATTAACATTTTGTAAGTGCTAGTAACATGGCAATATGTTCACTGTACGAGACAATAATAAAACACAGAGACAAAGTTCACACAGCTACCTAGATTTCACCATTTACAATGACAATTGTATGCATGTATATTGTGCCGAGCAGGACGAGGCCGGTGGCGTGATTGATTATGAGCGACACCTGCGCGACGCACCGGTCTCGTATCTCTCACGGAGGAGCGGAAGCATAAAGGAGGAGCGACGACAGTGAAGATCGAGAGAGGCCAGGCCTGGATTTTATTAGATGTTTTGTTTCTGTTTTATGTGGCAGCAGTCGTCCGTGAGGGACTGCTGCCTTTACTTTACTTTTGTATTTGTTTATTTTACGTTTATAAAAGTCTTTGAATGTTCGCTGGTTCCCGCTTCCCCCTTCCCACAACATCTAACCTTGCTACATACATACATATATTATATATTTTTTTATATATATATATATATAAATATATAAAATGTAAGGACACACACACACATATATTATATATATTTACACTCACCGGCCACTTTATTAGGTACACCTGTCCAACTGCTCGTTAACACTTAATTTCTAAGCAGCCAATCACATGGCGGCAACTCAGTGCATTTAGGCATGTAGACATGGTCAAGACAATCTCCTGCAGTTCAAACCGAGCATCAGTATGGGGAAGAAAGTTGATTTGAGTGACTTTGAACGTGGCATGATTGTTGGTGCCAGAAGGGCTGGTCTGAGTATTTCAGAAACTGCTAATCTACTGGGATTTTCACGCACAACCATCTCTAGGGTTTACAGAGAATGGTCCGAAAAAGAAAAAAACATCCAGTGAGCGGCAGTTCTGTGGGCGGAAATGCCTTTTTGATGCCAGAGGTCAGAGGAGAATGGCCAGACTGGTTCGAGCTGATAGAAGGGCAACAGTGACTGAAATAACCACTCGTTACAACCGAGGTATGCAGCAAAGCATTTGTGAAGCCACAACACGCACAACCTTGAGGCGGATGGGCTACAACAGCAGAAGACTCCACCGGGTACCACTCATCTCCACTACAAATAGGAAAAAGAGGCTACAATTTGCAAGAGCTCACCAAAATTGAACAGTTGAAGACTGGAAAAATGTTGCCTGGTCTGATGAGTCTCGATTTCTGTTGAGACATTCAGATGTTAGATTCAGAATTTGGCGTAAACAGAATGAGAACATGGATCCATCATGCCTTGTTACCACTGTGCAGGCTGGTGGTGGTGGTGTAATGGTGTGGGGGATGTTTTCCTGGCACACTTTAGGCCCCTTAGTGCCAATTGGGCATCGTTTAAATGCCACGGCCTACCTGAGCATTGTTTCTGACCATGTCCATCCCTTTATGGCCACCATGTACCCATCCTCTGATGGCTACTTCCACCATGTCACAAAGCTCTAATCATTTCAAATTGGTTTCTTGAACATGACAATGAGTTCACTGTACTAAAATGGCCTCCACAGTCACCAGATCTCAACCCAATAGAGCATCTTTGGGATGTGGTGGAACGGGAGATTCGCATCATGGATGTGCAGCCGACAAATCTGCGGCAACTGTGTGATGCCATCATGTCAATATGGACCAAAGTCCCTGAGGAATGCTTCCAGCACCTTGTTGAATCTATGCCACGAAGAATTGAGGCAGTTCTGAAGGCAAAAGGGGGTCCAACCCGTTACTAGCATGGGGTACCTAATAAAGTGGCCGATGAGTGTATATATATATATATATATGTGTGTGTCCTTATATATATATATATATATATATATATATATATATATATATATGTGTGTGTGTGTGTGTGTGTAAAAGTAAAGTAATGTTGATCATGTTTATTGGCACATGTAAACAGGCCATGAAACAGAGCAGCTGTCATGCTGGAAGAGGCTGCCAGTGGGACAGATGACCTGAGTTGTTTCCCTGTCTGAGACACTTGCTTTTCATGGACTGATGAGTAATAATGAATGTAGGCCCTGCTTATCTCAAGCCTGCCGGCAACAGGCTGCAATATCTGCTCACATCGCCTTCTGTGTGACTGTGAACAGTCGCCATCAAACTCCACAAGGGCTATAAACCTCAGATCAGTGTGAGAGATCTGAAAACTTTAATGTGGCGTGCAAACTCTGCCCTCACATTACAGATGGTTTACTGCCATGTATCGTTTACTGCTTGTATGTATTGTTTCAAAACACTAAAAATACATTTTCTAGAATGATTTGGCAGGGGTCGTTATAAAAACATTTAAAAATAAGCCCTACCATATATCAGTGTTGGACAGTGCTGATGGTGTGAGTCTAATTCTTGGCCAGCTTACAGTTAGTATATGCAAATTGCATGGTCTACACAATCCCAGAACAGAAAATACAAGCCAAAATGGCAAAGCCAAATCTTGTTGTGTTCTTGATGTAAACACAAACATGTTTCTGAAGGATGTAAAGTTACACCAGGAGAATGAAGGAGAAAACAAGCTAAAAATAGTAACAGTCAGGAATCATATCACTGCTGCACTTCATAGTGTCAAAAAGTGACCTTTCAATTCTAAAATTAGGAACCCTGGAACTCTTCCGACAAATACCTGACAGTGGACGCAGATAAACCCTCACTTCATGCTCACAGACACACAACCTCAGACATATACAAGTGGCGTAAGTGATTATAATTATAGCCTATAGGGATTGGATGAGTCCTGTTTAATCAGAGCCTCTGTACAGTTTCCATGGCAGTACGGGTGTGGCATGGTAACCGTCATGCAGCAAGGCTTGCTTTGTTTAATCTCGGCCCACAGGTTAGAGTCTGACAGTACTGTCACTTCTGCTGAGGTGACAATGACAGGACGGGCAGAAACATAAAGCCCTCCCCTTGCCCTTTTCAAAGCAGTCTTATCAATATGGGCAGGTTGATTTCACATATTTGAATAGTTACTAATTTGTATGTGACGTAATACAGCTATGATATGTCACAATGCCCCAACACACACCAATATTTTGTGCTGGACCAGTTCAAGCCAGAGCTGAACACACCTAGTCAAATGAAGCTCACAAAAGGATCAACTATCGGAAAACACAGGAAAAGAACAACAATAATTTGCAGACAGTCCACTAAATAATTAGATCACCCAAATGTTTTTAATGTTACTCCAAACTTATAAATATGTTCCTTAAAACACATAAGGTGAATTTTTTGAAGAAAATCATCAGAACTCTTTTTTTTTTAAATAATTAAAGTGAATGATAACTGAAGCTCACCATAAAAAGCATCATAAAGCTATGATTAATGTGGTTTACATGACTTGTGCCATTTATTTATTTCTAAGTCTTGACATCATATGATTTGTGAGTGGAATACACCAACATTAAGCCATTATTCACTAAAAAAAACTTGACATTCGCCCTAACTCTCATTGGCAAGGTCATGCGAATTCATCATGAGAGCTTATGAGAGTAGTAGTGATTGCCAATTCACAAATGAACCTATCTTTTCAGTGAATTTGATTAAACATCATAAAAGTCTGAATTATTATTTTACAAATTGAACTGATCCAATTCAACTTTTCAAGTTCAACTCACTGACTCAATGATCTAGATAACAATTGTCAGTAAACAATCGATCTGTTAGTCACAGCTATTAAATGACTTCAGAAGACTTGGAAAATAGCACACAAGTCAAACAAACTACTTTTATTATACTTTTATGGTGCGTTTACTTCCTTTTTCTGAAGCTTGACAGCTTCAGTCCCTATTCAATGCAACTTCACTGGGTAAAAAACAACCAGCAAATTTATCAACATTTCTCCTTCTGTGCTTCATAGACTATAAAGTCAGGTTTTGAATGACATGGGGGTAAGTAAATGATGACAGAATTATTATTTTTCTGTGAACTTTTGCAATGAATTATGAATCGTTCTAGTTAATTTAAGTCACCAAGAAAATATAATAGCATAGGACTTCTTGTGTTTTTGTTGACAAATATTAAAGTGCTTGCGGTGATGAACATGTCAGAGCTGGACTGACAGATCTCACAACGTCACTACCTCCCAAAGACACACCTGTGAAAATACTGAACAGGTTGATCAACATGCCATGTTTTTCCACCCTTTTCACAGGTATGGGCTGATCCGAAACACTGAAACTACAACAATATAGCATGATTACAGCATGCACAGGCCATAAACACCTGCAAGTGGCAAATTTACCCACAGCGCACACACACAGAAAGTCTTTAATCTCTCTTCATCTTGAATTTACACATACACAGGCCAATTGTCAGCTTGTGTTTCAGTGATAGTGAGAATTTATGCTTCACTCATGAGGGTGATTCTGCCTTTTTAAGATCAGATTATAGTTTCATTGCAACTCACCTCTGCTCTTTCTTCATTTATTGGCTCTTCTCTAACTTTAATTTCTCACCTGACAAAGAGCGCATAGCTAATTCATAATTTTATTTAATATTCAATGCATTTTCACAAACAATACATATTCATATTCAAGCCAGGCATGACTGTATGATAAATGTTATTAAGCTAATATGTCAACAACGTGTCCATGAATCTTTTTAAAATAGCCATTCACATGGAGTTTCATACTGGCTCAGTTGAATTTAAATGACTGGTTTAGTAATACAAGCCTGTTTTACAAAAATATGTGGATATGAGACCAGAGGACAATAAGATCTGCCAAAATCACCATCTAGTGAGCCATAAACAGTGGTTGGACACATTCTGTTTTAGCTAAACCACAGCTATTTTCACATTGGCGGAAGGTCAAGTATATTACCGAACATTGTAAGTTGAGAAAACCAGAACTTACTTGACAGTCACACGCGTGGAGAAGTCTTGCAGGTCTCCTGGGTGGAAAAGTTGGGCTTCTATTAGTCCAAGCTTTGAACAGGCTTTTAGGAAGAGGTTGATGTTGTCCTGTCGACAGAGAATGTGTCCACCTTCTGAGTTAGACAGCACTCATACAGGAATTATTTGGCACACACAGTCCAGAAATCATTGCTTCCAAAGTTCAGTCCAGTGAGCTGAAGCAGTGGGAGGAGACGAAAGAGGGCAGGTGGCAAATAAAAAGTGACACCACAAGAGTAAAGAATAAAGGCAGGATATCCCTGATTGACCTGTGACTGTACCTGTGAGAGCAGCAGTTTGGCTTCGGGGCGGTGCAAAAGTATGACAGAGAGTGTCAAAGCCACTAGTACCCTCCCCCACACATGAACGGCAGTCACACAAACACACACGCACTTTCTTTGCATTCCCTCTAGACTAACCCAAACACATACCTGCATGTGAACAAACATATAAACTCAAGCATACTCTCACTTTTCACACCCAGAAACCGCCACACAAATCTCTCAGCAGAATATTTGAGGAATCTTCAGGGCGGTGGATTATTTTGGAGACGGGGTTGCCATGAAACACAGGTGACTGAAACGACAAAGTATTTCCCCCAAGCAACTGTTAAAATTGCTCGGTGGGTGGGTGCGGAAATGCTTTTAATATTAAGGAAACTAAAGATCGTGTGTGTTCATTCACATACACATCCGATATGTTGAGAAATGTAGACTATCATGCACTGAAGTCGTGTTATGACATTATTTCAATTAGACTTGATCAACCATCTGGATGATAGTTCAGAGCGTGCAGCCCACCCTTTCCTGCTTTCCTGCTTGCTCTGAAATAATCACAGGGTGCTTTGGCCTATATTTAAACAGCAAACATGCTTATTAGCAGATGGCAATGAGGAGCTCTACTTCTGAATCACCTCCTCGTCTGCTGTTTAAATCCTTTCCCGAGGTGCAAGGTCAAAGGTCTCAACCTGACCCTGTGTGTGGGAGTCAAAGGGTCTGTTGAAGTACGTTATCATCTGTGTTTAAAGGTGACACATGAGATACACCGCACAGAACATGAATGTCAACAGCAAGACGTCTCTTATCGTTTGTTCTGTTCCTCAACCAAATTCTCACACTCCAACAGCTTGATCAGTGTCCTTAACCTTTAACCTAGACTTATGCAAAATATCTGAGATGTGAAAATGTCCAACTAGTCACCTGTTTACCTGAATGCTAAATGTCTTGAAGCAGGTGGTTAGGAACAAACACACTATTACATGTTTAACCTTTACTTGGAATTTTAAATGACCTACAATTACTCAACAGGGCATGTTGGTTAAAACACTAATGTTTGTTAATAAAATAATTTTGCACAGATAGCTTTGGGACAGTGAAACTGAATCTCTAACTTTACAGCCAGTGCACATACAGTAATCCTGTCAGAAATACTTATTCAGCGATTACAACCATCAGAAAAAAACTATCAAGCTTTCCTTCAAACACTTTTTTTGCAACTGCTGGTTGTTGGTTTGTTGCACAGGCATTACTGGTGATATGTATGTAATCTGAGGTATGCTAAAGTTCAATTATTGTGATAAACTGTGTCAGCATAGATCAAGCTCTTATATGAATCATGTTGTTTTCAGTAAACCATTATGTGAATAGGCAATAATGCTAAACGAAATTACAAGTTAACACTTAGACATTATGGGTTTAATTAAAGTAAATAATAAAATATAAATGCACACTTTTAAGAGCAAACAAGCCTGGTGGCCTGTGGAAAATTCTATTCAAATAATCAGTTCTGCCAATTCTCTTTTCACAGTGGTGAGACTCATTGCAAATATATCCATCCAGCTCAATTATAGGGGGGTTTATGAAGGGCTGTGCTCTACAGAGTCATCTCTCTGCTAAACCTCAGGCCAAAGCCCTGCCAGAATGACTTTTCTAATGTGGCCGACCAGCGTGCCACACAAGTGTAGGCTTCCTCTCTTCAAATTGTTAAAAGGAGGATCAGCTATCCGGGGAAACACAAGGGTAAACCAAGGCTCCGGATTTGATGGAACTATGGGAAAGTGATCCAGAGATCAACCAAAGCCAAACCTTGAGTAGAGTTTAGTGATCCAAAGCCAGAGTCGCTACACAGTCCACAAAACCAGAGATTTCCACTCTTGCACTAATGAGCCTTGATAAAATATAAAACCTCAGTATTAGAATAAAACTGCGTTTAACAAAAGCCAAGCAGCCAGAAGGAACAATAATAGTGCTGGGAAGATTTCAGAGGCTTGAATGAGCCTTTTCATTCTGTGGAAAAAAATCTTTCATCAGTCATAAACATAGTTGGATAAGTGCATTATGTTCTTTTGCATCTTACGGTTTGCTGGTAGCTCAAAAACAGCTCTCTTATGGACAAACTTTACAGGCTCAGCAGTATTTAGCAAAACTAAAATATAGTCCAAACTATGTGTTTTTCTTTGCATGCCTTTGCTTAGCCCGTGCCATGTAAGCCCTCAATTGTGAGTTTAGGCTCGATAGGTTTTGGGGTTGGAAGCATTTTATGGAAATACCGCAGTGATGCTGTTGGACATGCAGATGCTCATCTAAGCTTACCTGGGTCAAGAGTTTTAAAGGGCAATGGGAAATAAATGAGCATGTTTTGCATAGATTAGGCCAAAAAGTTTAAATAAAAACAGCTTAATTCAGGCCCATATGCCACTTGTCTATGATCTTGCATTAAAAAGCAAGAGCATAGACCATAGCAAGAGCAAAGAGCATAGGTTTTTGTACTGTCCAAGTAATATTTTATATTATTTCAAAATCTAATTTCCCCTTCTCTACATGCATGCGTATGGATCGTTCATAATAGAAAATTGCAATGCTTCCTGTTTGGAAAATGGTGACAAATGATTTCTATTAAATAACAGGCAGAAGTAAATCAACTTCAACTTGCAATTCACGCTAAATACCTGTAAGGCTGGTGCCGGTATGTCTGATCGACCCCTCAATGTGACAAAAGGCCCTCCTGGGAATTAACACTTGAACTATCCCTTGAATATGTAACTCCCTCTTGCATATGTAACAGGAACTTTGGAGACGCAGCACACAGGGCAGTTCACACTTCACCCACACTATCTCCCCCACATCCCCCTCCTCCTCACCTGAAATACACTGAAACCTTATGCAATGTTATGTGTGTACAAAAATGTAACTACTCATGTTTGGTGTCTTTTGATGTATCACAATGCGCCTGGTGACATGGTCTCATTCTCCCAACTATGATGAAAAGCTAAAAGAAGTTATGAAATGTGAGAAAAGTGATGTGTGCCATAATAGCCTCATTCAGACTACCTCCTGTATGTAAAATCAGGCAGACCTCACAGTGTGAGCCCCTGAATAAACAACCAAAATCTAATTATAATGACAGACATCACCATTTGGTAACAATTGAATTATCTGGGTTTATAAGGAAAAGCAGCAGAAATGTTCGGGGAGTCTGTAGGTTGACTGCCCACACAACCGCTGTGTGTAATTTTGTTGACAGGTAATAATTTCTACAAATTCTGTGATTTCTGAATTGATATGCTTAACTGATGATTTTATCCTCTGAATTGGATTTGAAATGATTACATCATTACCTGATCAATAAATTGTAAACGTTTGATTTTATTCTAACCGACTCTGAGAATTGTTTTCCCCCGAGTAGATTATCGGATTCGTATATTTCCACAAGTTTGCGTCAGAGTTTAGTGACGACTAATATCTGATATCAGATTCAAGTGTACTTGAATGAGGAGACGGGTAGTTTCCGTCTAGAATCAGCTAATGCTGTTTGATCTAGATTTGGGTACGTCTAAATACCTCTGTTCTAATTTAATGTTACTTTAGATAAGTGCACGCTACTAAAGTAAGTTATTGAATTAAGTTCCTGAGGTGGCATTCAAGGGGGCTGTGTATGTCTTCGATTATGTACGTGTGAATTACGGCAAATCCCAGACATTCAGCCAATTACCTCTGTTTTGATAATCGGAAACTGACGAGATTGTGCCGGAGACCTGGTGAGGAACTCGAAGTGATATAGTTTCCTGATCTGAGCAGATAAAATATAATCAGAGTTTAAAGAATAAACAAACCTTCGCTAACGTTTAATGATGCACGGATATCATTAAAACCTTTTCATTTATGGAGTCAGATAATAACGAGATAATACATGAGAAAATATATTGCATTTAATCTTGTTGTGTTGCGTGAAAGGAAAGGCAAGTAATACGCAGAGTAACCTTCTACCGCTGATTGGATGCCGAATTTGGACCAATCGAGCCGGACTTTACAGTAATACCCATGTACATGTCAACCATTTAGTAAATCATTCAAACTTCTTTTTAAGAGTTAAAGTTATTATCAGGATGGAATACTACAGCAAAAATCCTGTATGCATGTCAAAATACAAAAAAACAACAACAACTTACCAAGCCAGCAATAGGTGAGGATAATCTGTTTAATTTCTTGATAATTCCAGGCTTTATCTTGTTGATCAGTCTAGAAAAAGAAAAGCAGAACAAAAGTCAACACAAACAATTACATTGCGTGTCAGTTGCCAGTTTATTGAAGAGACTGTAGGTTATCTGTATAGGTTGCATAGTATTTGCAGTCATTACGTTCCTGTGTATATTGCGTGAATGACGGGTGGTTGGGCAGATATTGTGTTGCGGTAGGTAGTATGCCATACGGAACCGCTGTCCACTGAAACTGCCTATTCACGCACCAGTGGGGCTCGACAGCCTTAGTCAACGGGTTGGCGCGTATGGTTGGGTTGCGGAGAGATTGTGAGATTGTGGTTAGGTCTCAGCAGCAGGAGGGACGTAGAGGTCAGTAAGCTGGGCTGAGTTGAGTGGGGGACGGAGGGGGGTGATTTTGGGACGCAAGAGTCACTGTCTTCATGTTTTGTCATTTACGCCTGTGTTATGGAAATCATCATTATGAACAGCAGCTACGCTAATTATTTTCCCTTTGCTTTTCTGCTGTTATCTCGGGACGCGAGTCCCGAGAAAATGGCGTTCGTCAGCTCCAGTTGTATCCAGCCTCTCACGGAGACTTCAGATGCTCCAATCACAAAGCCTATGAAGTGACGACTCAACACGGGCGATATGGACTCTCTATGGTGGACGGCACTGATTCTCAACAACTCGTCTTAAGACCGGCGTGCATACTTGGACTTCCAAAAAATACTCTAAATGTTCCGATCCAATCTGACTTGTAATGCTGCCCGAATCATGCACTGTTCCTTCGTTGGCCAGGAGGAGAACTGGCCCCCCGACTGAGCCTGGTTTCTCCCAAGGTTTTTTTCTCCATTCTGTCACCTGATGGAGTTTTGGTTCCTTGCCACTGTTGCCTTGGCTTTTGGCTTGCTTAGTTGGGGACATTTATAATATTCAATAATATTATTGATCTGCCTTACTTAAGGTCGACGTTGACGCAATATCTTTTAGAAACAAACTTTGTTATATTGTTTTCATGTTATCACTGAAGCGCTTTGATACAATCTGTATTGTAAAAAGCGCTATATAAATAAAGGTGACTTGACTTGACGGCTTTCTTTAATTCTGACCATCTGGCTTCAGTTTACAAAGCCATCTAATGCCCTGAAAAAAAAAAAAAAGCTCTCAGTGGAAACAGACACCAGTCAATAGCCTCCAAGTAAGCCTAGTTTTGTGTGTAAAACTGGTTTGGGGAAATACACAGAAATATTGAAGTGCAAAATACAAGGCATGCGGCTGAGTGATGAGCATGAAATAATAATGTGAGGTATGTGAAATGTGAGAAACTTGATTTCTGACTGATGTGCATTAAAGGGAGAGGCAGTCAACAGTTTTATGACTCGTCTCATACAGTGTATTTTCTCTCATTTAGTGATGCGCAATTCCTTCTGTGGTAGAAAAAAGACAGTGAGTAATACATGCTTTAGAATCAATATCAAAGTCATGTAGTGTATTTAATAACATGCTAAAAATAACAAAATAATGTGCAAATATGTGATTGGTTGAATGCTGAATTTAACAGTAACATTTACAATTAAAGGCAATTCAAATGTAGAATCTGATTGGTTAATGAAGCAGCGGCATGCAAAAAGTCGTGTATGATGTGTGCACCTGTTTAAAAGTGTCACCGGCCCACCGGTGGGCCCTATAGCCATTATTTAAAACAGTAATATCCTATACTAAACTTATATTGACAAACTATATATCATTTGAAAGCTTAAAATCTCTAGTTTTCATATTTGGTGATTGATTTTCGCTTGGACACTTAAAGGGTTAAAATAAATGACTTTTTAAACACCAGTATATATACTAATATATGGAGCTAGAGCTACACAAAGCTTTTTAAAATTAGATTGGTGGCCCAAAATTTGTTTATAAAAAAAAAAACCATAAAAAAAATAAAGTATAGAGGCCTACAGTAAAGAATATGTAGTGTTGGTCATTTCTTCTCTGTCTGTAATCACTAAAACACATACCCATTCACACGTCTAAGAAGTATTTGGGCACTCTTTAAGCTAAAGTCAAGGCTTTGCTGTGCCGACCCCAGCAGTAGTTTCACAGGACTCTTTGTTTAGACGTGAAATCCAGAGTGACAGTGTCCTCAGGTAATGTAGGCTTTTGTTAGTTCATGTGGAAATAGCTAAGCTAATGGCTCGGTATACAGACTGAAAGCAGGCAGCATGAGAGCGCAGGAGAAGGACGATGACATTCTGCACTGGACTGTGGTAATTAGTCTGCTGAGTCACTCGACTGACACCAGCGTGTCAAACTGGCCCACGCACTGCCCCAAAACCATCCAGGCAGTTTCAGAAATGTGCTGAAATCCCTGAGCTTGCAGCATGTCACGCCCTGTCCACCGACCCAACGCTCTCTTTACATAAACAGCACAAGAGGCCCGAGAGCTGAGAGTGCTTCTCCCCGTGTGCCTGCCCCTCTGCTCAGGTTTCTGAAACCGGCTAGAGTAGCTGGCACTATGGACCACCTCTTCCCAGCTGTCCTTTTAAATGCTCTGCCATGTTGTTTTCCTCTGCTGGGCTTACTAATGCTTCCTGGGATGGAAGAGTCTCTGAGTGTGACAGCAGGGTACAAATTATTTGTTTTAAAAATAGCTGCATGGCATCATGCACGTTAAATGTCATGCAGCTGGCATTAAATGCAAATTCCAAATGAAAAAGTTCAGGTAGTGTTAGCTTGCATCACATTTCAGCCAACAGGTAAAATGTTGTTTCAGTGCATTATAGAAAAGTAGTTAAAGGGATAGCGCCAACATAGGCTCACTGGGAAAATGTGCCTCTAACCACATTTTTGCAACTTTTATTCCTTCTCGCATTTCAAATTACGATTACAGCGGCAGATTTTTGATTAATAGACTTATTTTTCCACGGTTCTCAAACACTTTTACTATGCTGCATGATTTGTAAACTACATAATTTTGAGCTCCATATGTTTGGCTTATATGATGTAAACTTGCTTGGTAACTTACCTGGTACTGCATTTCATTTGCAATGCAGAACGTGCGAGTATGAGTCCAGTGAAACATAAGTCATAAAAGAGCTCAAAGTCTTGTAGAAGCAGGCTAAATGGTTACTTCAACACAGTCTTGACGGTGATGCATTACAAGTAATGTGAGTTAAGTAATTAGATGACTTTTTTCAAGCAACTAGTAAAATAAAGGGATGGTCACACTACACTTTTTGTCCAATACGCTGATTTCACGCAGCCGCCATTTTGAAATCGAAAGCGAGGCTCCGGTGGGAAGAACCCCGGAAGTACAGATAGACAACAATGCCTTGGACTACCAACCTGAAGCTGCTGCCGCGATTTACACTATTGGATGTTAATATCCAATATAGGATATGTATATAGTTTGTTCCTGCTTCTTTTTTTTACGTTCTGAATTATATATAAAAAAATAATTTTATTTATAAATGAATTTCACTGTATATAGTCTAAAGTATGAAAGAAATGCATGTACATTTTTAGAATAACTAATTTCTACATTAAACAACAATACGCCATCGCATTCGCGACTCTCCTATGATTAAAGGCGACACTTCCGGTTTTCTCCCCACCGGAGCCATTGCAAAATGGCGGCTGCGTGAAATCAGCGTATTGACTTCCATTCATACGCAGTTTCAAAGTTCAAGTTTGGTGAACTCTGACCTGCAAATTCGCATCACGTGAAGATGTGTGACCAGTAGAAAATCGATAGGCCTACATCTCAGTGACCTCGTCTTAGCTGAATTAAAAGAACGATATTTTTGCAGTAAAGTCGAGTAGATTGTATATTTTTACATTTTGAATGCATTACTATTTGTTATATGTTGAATTCATGTTTATAAAAAAGACACGACTGTTGCTGTGTCTAAAGAAATTTTCCATGCTCAAGTCCAGTGTGACCGCAGTTTAACACATTACTTTTAAAATTACAAGTTACTTTTTCAAATAAGTATTGAAAGTTACTTTGTTTTCCCATTCATTGACTGACACATCTCCTGTTACTATGTTGAGAGAAATCGGGAGTAAGTGCAGAGGCGTTAACTTGTGTGTCACATGATGGGTATTGTAGTTCTAGACTGAATGCGAGCAGGCATTTACTCATCTCACTTGTGACTTGCACAAATAAAAGCAGATTTATTATTCCTCAAAATGAATAAAAACAGTGAAATGCATTTCAAACTCAGAATATTTTACAAAGCTGCAATAAATAAATATGTTAAATAACACAAATAAATGTATAAACCAATGCCTTTGCTACTGACCTTCGATGATCCAATTCAACCATACTAATAACCAAAATGACTTTAGATAAACATCACATGTCTTTCTTTTTCTTTTATTGCTGAAGTAAAAGAATGAACTGTACTGAACACAAGTGTTGAACTGTACAAGAGTGAATTTGCATTTCCTTCAGCCTGAGGCTTATTCATTTCACTTTTGGCCTTCACATTTGCCAAAAATATATAACTATTATTAAAAAACAAACAAGCAAGTCCAGCCCAGGTGAGAAAAGGTAATGCAAAATTAAAGTAACTTTAAAAATTAACTAAGTTACTAGTCCATAAAAAGTAACTAATGGCGCTTTTCCACTGCATGGTACGGCTCGCTAAAAATGGTACCACCTCTGTTGAGGTTCCAAGCATACCGTACCGATACTAAAATGTGACGTGAACACACTACAGATCACCGATTGGTCAGAGAGAACCAAAGCCATTGGATTTGCAACACGAGACACCAAACCCGCTAGATTTAAATAGTCAGCAACAACCACCCAAGTATTATTTGTTCGCAATATTTTTTATAAACGACTTGCTTGAAAAAAATAAAAAAAATAAACTTGTAAAAAGAAATGGCTGAATCGTGGTGACTGGTCATTAGACGAGGTGCAGACGTTCCTCTCGTTGGTAGCCGAGGAGCGGATCCAACGAGAGCTGGATATTGCGACCAGGAATGAAAAAGTTTTTCATAAACTTTAACGAGCAGTCTATAATCCCACCCACTTTGAAGCGGTACTAAACTGCAGTGGAAAATCAAACCGAGCCGAATCGTACCACGCAGTGGAAAAGCAAAGCAAGCTGAGCCTTACTATGACGTGGAAAAGCACCATAAGTAACGCAGTTCGTTACTTTTTTAGGAAGTAAATGTAATGCAATATTGTAACGCATTAAAAGTAACTTTCCCCAACTCACACTTGCTTTTGTTAACACTATTGCTTAGGTTTAGAGTATGGTTTAGTTTAGGAGGTGTGTTTTTTTTTTTATACCTATATATAAAAAAACTGCTACTTTATATATATATATATTAGGGCCGGGACTTTAACGCGTTAATTAAGATTAATTAATTACAGACTTAAACGCGTTAATTAATTACACAAAAAAATATTTTTAATCGCACTTATTTTTGCACCGCGGAACGTTTCTCACTGGATGAGTTTCGGCGGACCGATTATACTGGCGCACCAACTAGCGTTCATGACGAAGAAGCTGACGAGATGATGCTATTGGACGAGATCGCTTTGGTTGGCCGGTGGATGCATAGACATCATGATGTCTATGGGTGGATGGGAAATTTTGTTACAAAAAACGAACGGATGGAAGCGTCGATAAGAGCATGGTTGTGTGCAAGCTATGCAACAAGGAATTCGCTATTGCTATTACTACACTTAATGGCAAAAATTGCACTGGTCTGCTGGACTTGGTTGTTGCTAAAGCTTATGTATTCAGTCATTATTCAATGGTATACTAAAAATCCATGTGAAAAAAATTACTTCTCACTGTTCTCAGGTCAAATATTTATGCAATTAAAATGCGATTAATTTCGATTAATTAATTATTACAAAGCCTCTAATTAGATTAATTTTTTTAATCGAGTCCCGGCCCTAATATTTTTTATTTTTATTTTTTTACATTTTTGTCCATACAATGAGTCAAAGGTCAGTGGGGTCCAAAATTCTAAATTCCAAAAAGGGCATAAAGGTAACATATGTGAATGTCATTGCTTAATATTATGACACAAGCACCAATGAGGTTTGAGATTGAATAACCACTTAATTCTTGCTCTGTTGATCATGCAAACAATTTTTGATTCAGGAGACTTCATTTAAACCAGTTTACTTTTACGTTACCTTTATGTACTTTTGGAGCTCAAAACTTTTGGACCCCATTGACTTTAATAGTATGGGGAAATAAATCAGACTTTCTTCAAATTTTCTTACTTTGGGTTCCATAGACGAAAGAAATCATACAGTATTGGAACAACATGAGGGTGAGTAAATGAAGACTGAATGTTCCCTATTTGAATTAACTCTCCTTTAGGACTGTTTGCATTATATTATGTTTGTGGTGCACAAAAAGTGCAATGAATATTAAAAACCATTACAAAACGATAGCCTAAGCCACAACATTATAGCAGAATCCTTTTCATGGTTTAAGCAAGAAAAACAGTAAACAAATAAAAAGTATAAATAAACATAGCTTTACTTACTCACACAACAGAAGTCCATTCTCCAGAGAATTCCGGAAATTACTGCTCCCAAACTTCTTCTTAGTGACTGCCTGCGAGACATGGACAAACACAGGAAGCACTAAGAACCAGTGAGTGGGAAGGTAGGATGTCCAGGGAAAGGAGAGGAAAGTTGTTCTTCCGAGCTTTGAGTCCAAGCGTCTAGCACACCAGTACAATAACACAGCCTCTTTTGGAGAATCGTGGGTTATTCAGTAATCAGAGCTGGAGCCCAGTGGCCAAACCACAGAGAACGAGAGCATCTGGAGGAATGTCACAGTTTTACACACAGCTTCATGCCTTTCCAATGATCTCAAACTACTCCTGCAGGATACAGAAGGCAGGCAGCCCATTGTTTTTTCTCACACACAGGGAAGCATTTATGTTGTGTTTATTCCCTCAGACTACACTGTTACAATGTGAGCCCTGTTGCTCCACACCTCATATAACAATCTATGACTAAAGCCCTTTTTCCGATGCAAATGTTTTCAATTTCCAAGTTTAAACGCCAGTAAAAACATTTGACAGAGTTTAGCTTTCATGAGACAATTTCATTATGAGTAATACTTTAGGTATGTTTTATAATATGCTACTGGTATAACATTAAATTTAAGAAATTGACTTCTTAAATATTTAAGTTGACTTCTTAAGTATTGTAATCTCCAAAACGGTCTTGTTGCAAAAACAAAGTATGCAAAAGATATGAAATCTAGAGATGTCAATAAAGGGTTACCACTTATTGATGTCTGTTGTGTAGAACAGAACGCTCTTAAACTGCTTCTACTTGACTGTCACTCAAAAACATGGCATGTATTCAGAGGGTGTGGAGGGCCTTACATGTAAAAGGACACTGGTTATGTTGAGATCAGCATTGACTGCGAGATTTGAACCGCAATTGTTCTCTTTTAGAAGCAGTACTTCAAAGGACACTTTATGTCTGCTGAACAAAACAAGGACAAAAATAATGTATGGACAAATATTATGATCCTATAGTACTAGATCCAGTTACACTACAAGTTACAAACTAAAGGTAGATTATTTCAACGGGAATTTTGTATTCTGTGTCACACTGATCTAAATCTTTCAAAGCTTGAGAAAAAAAATAACAACAAGATAATCTTATAATACAGCCAAAAAGTTGTAAGTTGTCAGAATATTAAAGATCAATGTTTTTGGAATGAAATGTCAAGTAGCTTCCTGTCCCTTTCATGTAGATTTATGTAACCATTACACAAACCCTCACAGATATGGAGTGTAAAGAGACAAGAGGTTAATCATATACAGTATGAAGCACATTCACACAGCTTGGTGCAGTAAACATCAGTGTTCAATGAAATCCTGACCCCTGCTGTTCCTGTCATTGCAATGTCCATGATGGCTTACTGTTTTTAAACAGATCTCTGTAGCAGGTGGAGAACAATTTGAGAGCTTGAACAAATCACTTACATAACCAATAAACGACTGAACAAAAATATGAAACTATATTAGTAGGCAACTATTAAATTATATACTAATTGTAAAAGGAAAAACAAAATTTATATAGCAAGAATCCATTCAATGGATCAAAAGTGACAGTAATAAAAAAAATCCTGAAAAAAATTATCAGTTTCCACAAAAATATTAAGCAGCACAACTGTTTTCAACAATGATAATAATAAGAAATGTTTCTTGATCAGCAAATCAGCATATTAGAATGATTTCAGAAGGATCATGTGACATCATGTGAGTAATGATGTTGAAAATTCAGCTTTACCATCACAGGAATAAATTACATTTTGAAATATATTAAAATAGAAAACAATTATTTAAAATTGTAATAATATTTCACAATTTTTATTACAAACTATTTGTCATTCAAGCTCACATAATGTGATCACATACTAATTTAAATAGTAGGTTTTGATAATGCAAGACATTATTTTAATTCAGCTGCACTTTTGCACACAGCGATTGTTCATTCATGAAGGAGCAATGAGGCATTCCAAGTTGTTTGGACACACGGAATGCCGCACATCGTTAATTGTGCCAAAGTGCTTTAATCCCTTTGCCCAAGTAAAGTCTGCTGAGCGAGAAGGAATATTGGGAGAAAATGCTCAACATCTCTAGGGTCATTTTAGGCTAAAAAGAACAATCAATTCAAACCTGTAAAACATTTTTTTTTTTAAAAAGACCTTATGTACAACTACAAATTTAAACTTCAAATTAGATGACCCTGATTTACCTAAACAATAATGGATGAGATTTAACAAAACTTCTATTTAATATGATTTCACTACAATAATGATTTAGCCACAGTGGCTAATGGCAACTTTCTACACTTAGATATACCAAGCAACTTCAGAAAGGTGGCTAATTTTAGGTTTGACTTTAACAAGCTGAGAACTCCCCTGGAGAAAAAAACAGAAATGCCTCTGCCCACAGACCGGGTGCAAGAATGAGCACATGTGACAAACTCCAGATCGTTCAGCTGACTATAACACCCTACTACACACTCAGACTCCAGCACTGCTCAGTGCGCCCTCACGCCTGACAACCTGTTAGTCATTCAGATTTTAATTGGACGCTAAACGGCACATCACCTTCCTTTGCAGGAGAGCAATCGGCTTGGGGCTGAAACTGCCCTGCCAAGGTCCACTGCCTGTGACAATGAACCAGTGTGCATGTGTGAGAGACTGATGTCACACTGAAAGCATTTAGATTCACCCCTCATGAATTAAGAACAATATTTGTTCAGTTACAGCCAGTACTTTGGCCCTGCCATCTCCCGCTGAGAAGGGAATTCACAAGGATAGGAAAGTCCTAATCATTTGTTCCCTGGACTAAGTGGGTTCCAGAGGGTTTGGAAGAATAAACCCGGTAAAGCGTGTGAAAACTGTTGCAGGACTACTAGTTTTTCCACTGTGAGCTTGATGAAAAAATAAATAGATCATTTTTTTTCTAAAAAGTTATTTAAGGGATAGTTCTAACCCAAAATTAAAATGCTGTTGTAATTTATACTCACCCTCATGTCGTTTCAAAGTCAAACCTGTATGATTTTCTTTCTTTTGTGGAACATATTTTGAGAAATGTCTCACTGTTTTATGCCCAATAGAGGTCAATGGTCACCAAATTGGTTACTAACATTTTTCAAAATATCTTCTTTTGTGTAACGAAGAAAGTCGTACAAGTTTGGAACGACAAGAGGGTAATTGATTGACGACATAATTTACATTTTGGGGAGAATTATCCTGTTTAATGGAATCGTTCGTGGAATAAGATACAAAAATGCATTGTCATGTCCTCTTAATCACATACCCAAAATTTGTTGGTGGTGGACTGGAAGATAGTAATTAATAAATATGAAATATTAAAAAAATTTATAAATAATGAATAAAAAGTTATATTGATTCATGAAACAAATATAAGATAATTATTTTATTTATACATTTTTAGAATAATATAATAATAAAAACCAAAGAGTATCTCTGTTTTGACCATGATATGAAGTGGGACAGGGTACTAGAAATGTTATTTGTGAGTGTGACCTTTATAGGTTAATAAGAAAAGAAAATCTTCAAAATCTTTCTTTTCTTAAAATAAAATTTCATATAAAAGTAAACAGTTATACATTAAAGTGATCGTTCACCCCAAAATGTGAAGTCTGTCCTCATTTATTCACCCTCAGCGTTTGGTAAAAGTAAACGAGAACAGACAATTATCTCAAACTTCCAGTAGGGGTTTAATCTTCAGCTGGCTTGCAGGAGTCACGTGACCTGCCAGTGGCTGGCTGGTGGCTGGCAAGTCAGCCGTGGCAAGTTTCAGCAACCACTGATTTTTTTTTGGCAGATTTTGTGTTTTGTATTCCTCCCTCTCTAGCTCTGGTGAATTACATTAATTTATTATTGTGCATCTCTTGATATGATTATGTTCTTTTACATGATTGGCGTTTTAGAGAATTTTATGGTAATTAAAATAGTCAGATAGCCTTGATCACGACTGGCTGCTTATTGACGCTTTCCTGGCTGCTCAATCCAGCCAGCCACGGTTGAGCTATAACGTGTTCCCGATCACTCTTGCAGCAAGGAAATATATTATTTTATAATTTATATATATTCTTATGGATACATTAATTTACACAATTGACATTTTAGAGAGGTTTATCACAAATAAAGTGGTCAAATGGCCGTGATCCCTATGGTTGGTTAGTCTTACGTTCCAACTCCCACTCTCATTCCAAGGAATTATTTTTCACCACTCGTGTTTTACGCCGGTAATAAAATAGGCCAAGCTGCAAACTCCAACAAACATGTGCTGAATTCCTTAGGCCTATATGATGAGTTTTGTGTTTTATCTTTCATAGGCCTACTTTAATCTAATTCTCATGGAATGGCTTGCTGGATTGAGCGGCCAGAGAAGCGTCAGTAACCAACCAGGGCTGAGGGCTATCTGACCGTTTTATTTATAATAAAATTCTCTAACACACCAATCATGTAAATGAACATCATTATACCAACAGATGCACAAAAATAAATGAATGTAATTCGCCAGAGCTAGCACTGTTGCCAACCATTTTCTAAGGAAAGTAGCTAACGCCTTCCCTAAAAGTCGCTAAATGTCGCTAGATGACGTCATACGCTAATTCGCATATTCATGACGTCATCGCGTCGTACTTGCGTTCTGCCATGCCTAATGTGTTTTCTCTCTAAATTCATGCTCACATTCTGTATTTTAATATAATATAATATGAATGTCCAATAAAGCTGTTCTCATTACCTATATTATTTTTGTCAGACAGTAGAACAAGTAGGCTAACTATATAGGCTAGTGAATGACTAATTTTTTTTATATGTGTAAAATTATCTGAATTGAGAGAGTTCGGGAAATGGGTGAAAGCTCTGTGATAGTGAGTATTACAAGTAATAAGCACAAGAAAAGAACGGAATTAAAATGGTCAAACAAAACTCTTTAAAAATAAAACAAAAGAGAAGCTGATAAGTGACAAGTCCGTGAAAAAAAAAAAAAAAAAAAAAAAAAAACTGGCGCGAGCTCAACACATGAATGTGCTGCTGCTCGTCTCAGCCATTCACTGAACAAGGTAGACGCCGTTAGAGAGAGAGAGAGACGGCCGGGAGAAGGCAAGACCTCGCGCTCGCAGGACAGTACTGGCAACATCTGGAGATTACTGCAGGTTTGTGTGAAAAGTCGCTAGATATGTCGCTAGTCGCTTTTTAAAAAAAATGTCGCTGAAGGGGTCTGAAAAGTCGCTAAGTTGGCAACACTGAGAGCTAGAGAGGGAGGAACACAAAATCTGCCAAAAAAAAAAAAATCAATCAATGGTTGCTGAAACTTGCCAAGGCTAACCGTCTGCCGTCAGCCACCAGCAGGTCACGTGACTCCTGCCAGCCAGCTGAAGATTGAACCCCCACTCCAAACTAATCATAAACAAACAGAGACACTAATGTGTGATTTAGCTACCTATTCACCATCACGTTTTTGGAGATACTTTTGTATACTTAGTTATTACATTTGCATGCAACACAAATGTTATTTTTTGTTAGCTTTTTTTATAAATTCTAATCATTGTTAAAGACGAATTCAACAGGTGTGTCTGGGTATAATTCAACATGAGTAAATGAATATATTCAGTGCTTTGTCGTTTTAGTTACCGCAGTGTCAATTGTCATTTTCCCGAACTAAATTTATTTAAATGAGAGCACGGCACGTGTAAAAGTGAGAACAGTTCTTACCTCAATCCATCTCTGTGCTTCTGAGTAAGCAGACTCATAACCTACTGCAGACTGCGCTCGCCACTCCATCACCGTTCTTAAGTGGTGAAGCTGTAAGGAAACGGGCGTCTACAATCAAAGAGCCAAGACGCGCGAGTTCTGTTCTACGGTACCGCGTCGCGTGAATATTTTACTACCTGCTTTCTTTAAAAAAAAAAAAAAAATCAGCCGGTGAAACGCTTTTCTTATTCGACTACCAGTTTCAAAACTATCACTCTATCGAACGTCAACGACCGTACAGGACGCAGGATAAACTCTTAAATCTCCCCTTGTTCTTTTACCTACTCCAGAGAAACTTTAGAGTTGTGTTGTGTACTTTATACGCCCCCTAGTGCGTCAGGATACACACCAGAAACTACCGTCAGGTTACGTTACAGGTGCCAAAGGTAGGATTAAGCGCCACTGGAGAAAAAAACTAAAACATATAAACTAATGTCATGTTTACAAGTACAGAGTAAAAACAGAGTGAAAACAGAACAGATCAGAAGTGCATAGCTTATTAATAAAAATGGTAAATTGGATCTAACTTAAGCAGAGGGTGGCGACTTTTATTTCTCGACTATATTTCTCATCACAATAGGCTACAATTGAAATACTTTTTTTTCATTTTGATTTGTAAAGTGCAAGTACATATTAGTTAATATGCAAATAAGGGATGAATTTCAGTCAGCTAGTCATTCTGACTAAATTACAATTAACTAATAATAAAATTATTTTCATTACGTGAGACAGATCTTCCAGAAACACTGAACCTATCAGCATTTATTTTGTAATAATAATCAGCTGACTGTACATTGCATGCTTATTTCAAGGGTATTTATCAAATAATTCGCAAATAAATCATCACAGCTATGTAGGAAACAAAGGTATCTTGAATTTCCATGGACAACAGTCATTATTCAAACACGTGACCCCTAAATGTGGTATAAAAACAATTAATTTATCTTAAATATAATTAAATCTTACATTCAAATATAAATCTGAATCAATTATTGTGTTCAACATTTAAAAAAAAAATTTTTAGATAACAATGCTGTTTTGAAGGGGAAAAAGTATGGATGTAAAAAAAGACAGAAATTAATCATTGCTTGAGTATTCACGAAGTGAACTGTTGTCACTGATAATACAGCAATGAGGACACCATGAGATGAAAACGTTGGACATTTGTTCTTTATTCTCTTAGTCTTAACTGATTTTTTTCTGTATTCTTGAGAAAACTGTATTTAGAAGTAGGACACCATATGAAGTGAAACACTGGCATCGGGCTAACACTTCTGTGAGAACAGTACATTTATTTTTGTCAAAATATGATGTGTACATATTCATCATGAGAACTTTTATTTTAAATGGCTTCTTTTCTGGCAGAAAAACAACACCCTTAGGTCAATTTGTATCATTAACAGAATACATTTCATATCATTTTGGAGAAATGAACACAAAAAAGTATTTTAGTCAGTATCAACATTCAGATACAAAATTCTTTATGTGCATGTACATTTCTTGATATTGGCTAATTCTAATTAGCTTCTCATTTGCCTTGTGGTCAAAACTTTCAACAAACTTTTATTTTAATCAGTCAAAATTTAACCCATACTGTATAAATGCTAAAGTTTTAAAGTATTCAGCACTTCTGAATGATTGGCAGTTTTTCTTTCAGGTAAAATAAGAACATTTATGCTTTGGAAAGAGCCACCACAGTGAAGCGGAGCTCCTGGGGATCACGTGCCATGAACTTCTTGCAGACCTCTGCAGAATCCTGTGGATCAAACACAATTTAAACAATGCCTACGAACAAAAACAAGTTCCACATATACAACCTTGTCAGAGAGAGTCTATACATCTATAGAAAGTCAATGAGAAACATCACACCTCAAGAAATTTGTCGTCTGTGGTTTTCCCATGAACAATTGGAAAAGGTTTACGTCCATCTGAAACACATGAACAAAACATTAACACCTGTAATAATTATGTATAAAAATATGAAGTATATTTCTTTAAATAGGTGTTGATACTGTTAATCTTTACATTTTGTTTGCAGAAGTGACAAGCACCTAAAACAAAATTACAATAATATATTAATTAAAATGTACCTACCCAGTTCATATAAATATCCCTCAACGTTTACAAAGGCAATGAAATGCAAATCCACTTTTTCATCTAAACCTGGAGCCTATAAAGGTGAGCAGAACAAATAAGTTAGCAGGTTAGACTTTTTCTACGACACTGGACTGGAATAGTAACAAGGCATAAAAGCAGAAATGAGATCCAACACAAAGAGAATGCTAAAGGCCTCAGAATCAGAGAAAACAATAAGGTCATTAAGAATTAGGAAAGTCATCTCAGTCCTTTGAAAAGAGGTGAAACCAGATTGGAAGGGGTCTTAAAGGTTATACTGTAGGTGACTGCAGCAAAGATTTTTGGGTGTGCAATTTCAGACGCATTTAAAGTAGGTCTCTTACATGTAAGACAGAAGGAATTTTCAAGTTCAAAGGAACAAAGGCAGAAACAAGATTTATTAAGTGGAAGATGAGGACAGTGATAAGCTGTTATATAAGTTTTTTTTTCTTTCTGGCGATTGCATTTTGGCTTCAAAGATCATAAAAGTTGTGTTTTTGTGGGAAAATTATCTTGGTGGACAAAATGTGCAAGCATCAAACTTTTGTAGATCACAGGGCTTATATTTTGTGCTAATTGTGTAAAAAGTGTGATGCTAACTTCCAGGTTGGCCTACAAAAGTAGGTAATCATTGCAACACTCTACTGTTCCACCCTCGAGCCAGTGGGGAAGTGAATGTTTTTGATCAAAGATTAGAGAGCACATGAATTTTAAAGAAATAAAGGATAAATCATTTACAATAAACATTGCAATATTCCATAAAAAAAAATAAGAATTGTCGATTTTGATTTCATGGTGACTTTAATTTTTGTTTGTCCATATCAGAAAACCCAGATATGCAAAATGTGTTGTGTTAATATATGGGTCCGGAATTTATTATAAGTTAAACAAACAAATGGAGGCTTGGCCTCTTTGTCTCTGTTTTTTTAAAAGAAACAAGGACTAACACTTCAATATTTCCAATATAGTCTGCATTTCAAAATGTCTGCTACTACAACAAAAGAAAAACATAACATGGAACATTCAGCAATGGGATAAAACTTCAAAATGTGTGTACTGTAGATACTTGGTACTGTTTTGAATGCTGTATTAACAACTAATCAACTACTATATTTAGCAAATACCAACCTCTGTTTGTCCTTCCTGAGCGCTTGACTCATGTGTTACTCGGATACTCTGAAATCATAAAAATATCAGAGGCTTGCTGAAAACAGTCAGAAGTTTTTTTAAACTTCCAAAAACAGTTCCAGTTGCAAGCTGATGCACTAAAATACACACTATTTTATCACCTCATCTTTTTCAAGGAAAGCTGCCTTTTCTTCTGGGCTCATCTTTGCAGACTGCAGTAAAAATGCCTTAAGGGGTGAATTCGGCTCTGTAAAAGAAGAATTTCAAGAACATACCATAAACAAATATATTAAACATACAAATAATCTGACTAATAATATACTTTTCAAAATAAGGGAAATCATTCTGAAAATGAGCAACTCATATATTTACCAAACTCCAGATGCCTTCGATTGTTTGCCACGGCATGAATCAGCCCTATTGTACCACAAGCATTGCCGATGGTTTGTTTCATGAAGTACACATCCGAGGACACCTCTTGTCCTTGTGCCTTAATTTTTGCCTCCTCTTCCTGTCTAAAGGTTTCATACTACATTGAGGAAAAGAATTATATTACTAAAAATAAATCTACAGTAAATATCATGTTGTAAAAAATAATAATAAAAAAAGAATGACAAAGATGCTTCATTCTACTGACTGATTATGAATAGTCTTTTCATACGCGAGTAACATTGGTTTAGCTATGTTTCACAGAACTAAGATATGCTGTTGTTATAATGTGAGCTACAGTAACAGGACAGTTTTGAGTGTCATTGGCTGCGTTCACACTTGGCATTAACATGCGACCTGTATCCAGATGTTGTCCACATACACATTGAAAAGAAGTGTGAACACATTTCTGATTGGAATGTTATCCGATCAGCGTGTCCTGGTCCAGACCAGACAGAGGTAGTCGAGGATGCATTGTGATTGGATCTCAGTGTAATGTAAATGCAATCCAGCCATCGTATCTACATTCAGAGAGCGACGTCATAAAGAAATCCCCGCCCAGTCTCCCCACGTGGCCATCAGAAAATAATGGACAGACGCAGTTGACAAGAAATTAAACTTACTTGAACCTTACAATAAACGTCCATCTTTAAAACTGTTTATTTAGACTTACATGATACTGTGTGTGTGTCATTTTCCATCTTATTTGTGCAACATTATCTGAACAAGGCGATCGCCTGTACAATCACAGTCAGTCATGAGATCTCAATGAAGAGCTGCACGCTGCTTTGCCAAAGGAATAATTGGAATACACTTTGTATTTTTTAATGTTTTAAATGTTGTATGTTTTTATTGTTTCAGCATGTTTATTAATCTCCCATTTCTATCAATATAGTCATAACCTTAAACCCTGATGATTGATGATGTGACTTGTTTAACATTATCAACCCAGTTATTTTTGTATGATCAATTCTAGAATTATTCCTTAATCTGGGGTTGTATAGCCTACCCTTGTTTAGTTCTAATGAATGCTCTTTATGTTATGGGTGTTCTTTTATTTCTTTAATACATAGGTGTTCAGATTCTGCCGTTTTCTACATGTTACACATTCAATATAAATGCTTTTCATCATACAAGATTAATGTTGAGAAAATTAAATTGATAGATTGAGTACTCTATTTGTGATCAATTGTACCTTGGTTGAAAAAAAAAAAAAAATCACAAAAATTCACTGCTGTGTGCACTGCCATTGATAGAGGGTAAAGTGAAAGTTGATTAACGCTAAGTCATTTGAAGCTTCTGCCTTTCAAACGAGCCACAGACCTAATTTAAATATTGTGCGAGAAACAGAAATCCAATTGGTTATCCAGATACAGAGGCCACTTAAAGCTGCTGTAGGCAACTTTTGTAAAAAAAATTTTTTTACATATTTGTTACAACTGTCATTATGTCCTGACAGTAGAACACGAGACAGATAATCTGTGAAAAAAAAATCAAGCTCCTCTGGCTCCTCCCAGTGGTCCTATTGCCATTTGCAGAAATACACGCTCCCGGTCAGAAACAACCAATCAGAGCCAGGAGGAATGTCTTAGCAGTGTCAATCACGCTCGTGTACGTGCTGATCACACCCCTCTCTTGCACAGCACAAGCCGTCGTTCAAACTCAAGATTGCCGGCGTGCTGCAGCTGTGCTTATGACGGAGAAACAACCTAAACTGCCAATTCTCGAGTGACACCTGCTCATAAAACAAAGAGGTAAAAGGAAAAAGACCGATGACAATAAACAAGTGAAAAAGAAAGAATTACACAGAGCCCATTGATTCGGTGTCAAAACTCTAGCCGCATAACATGTAGATAAAATGTCACGCACTCTGCTAAGCAACAATTGAAACCTGCTAATTCACTGGCTTGTCATGTTGCTGAAATAATGTACTAGCACACCTTATCTAGCATTATATATCGCTAGAATAATTACTTACATACTGTAACGTTAGTTACCGTTATATTAACGTTATCTTACTAGCTATTTATAACTTATAGAAAGAGTGCAACGTTATAAAGTTACATGTAGGCTATTGCAAAATACATAATGATTTGAGGACCAAGTTTGTAGTCAAAGTATGGGCAGGCCATAGTCAATGTAAAGCATATTGTTGACGTTTAGTCCCTATTAGTGAATGTGCCATATAACTTTTTATCCGCTGTTATCGGTGGCCCTGCTTACTAGCCTGCGCGTTCACGACAGGCTCCGCTGTGGAGGACGAGCTGTGGAGGGAGGGCTGTAGCGCAGCAGAGAGCAAGGGGGTGGGACCTGTAAGTTGTGCTTGTTCAAATTTTCAGGCTAAGTCAACGTTTTCTCAAAACTCCCTACTGCAGCTTTAATGTGAACAAATGTAAACACGCCTTTGTCCTGGTTGGCTAATGATCCAATCTGCTTGATCGGATCACAGTGATCACATGTTAATGGCCTCATGTAAACACAGCCATTGTTTGTCTGAACTCTGAAGATGGTGTGCTGTTGGCGACTAACAACAAACTCTTGCTTGTATATACTGTATACTAATTTTTTGTTCTTCCTTGTTGTTCATTCGTCATCTTCACTTATTTTTTGTGAAGATTTATTTTGCTTCGCTTCAGCTATGATAAAGAGACATCCACTCTTGCATTGTGTACTTGTTATTTAGGGGCGGAGCAATGAAGGGAGGGATGTGTTTGTTTGAGTTGATTTCAAATACCAACAGTGTTTCACAGAAATCATTTAGTGCACCTTTAATACAAATTACTTGTAATAGCTTGCAATTGTCTTATTTCTTCATTTACTCCCTAAGTAACTTTGTTAGATAGTAATGTTAATTAACGTTTGTGCATGTTTGTATGAGAGCCCAGGTTTGTATAACAAATACAATTTGTCACGTTTTGTCATGCTAAAAGCTAACGGCCCAAGTCACTAACACTAATTATATATCCACATAAAGATTAGACAGATTATCGCTTTAAACCAACAAAAAAGGTGCTCAAATCATGAATATCATTAGACATTTGGTACAACAAATTCAGTTATTTTGGGTCATAATAAAGAGAAAAAATTACTAAAAATCATGATGAGACTGCTCAGTTACATTTCATGCAGGTCAAGTCTTTACCAGATTCATATATATACACACACACACATACATTAGAGATGCACCAATGTATCGGCCAACAATCGGTATTGGCCGATAAAAGCAATTATTTTCACTATCGGCCGATTGTTTAAAAACAGCCGATGATCAGTGCCGATTATATCCTGTCAATCAAAAGGGTGTGGTAAAACATACTGCTTTACCTCACTGCAACTCACACTGTGTGTGAAGAGAATCTCTCGTGTTGAATTTAAGGCAAGTTAATGTGACGGTAGGCGCGTTTCCATTACAGATGTGTGCAAAACTTTTGCGATCTTTTCTAAATATCGATAAAAAACTATTGCGAAATGACGGCGTTTCCATTAACCGATGTTATGCGACTAAAACGCAATTTATTCCTCTCGCGATCAGTCATTCCAAAAATCATGGCAACGGACGTCGGTAGGTTTATATATATATCAGAGCCACCGCACTAGACATTATTATTATTAATGGAAGGAGACGTGGCGTGTTATCCAAGCATTAATGGCAAGGAAAGACCCTTATACTGTGAACGGCACATATGAGGTGTTTCTCCCTAATTTCTGCTCCGAGGTCTTGATTGTGGCATTTCTTTGAGGTTTAAAATCCAGTATTCCTGTAATTCTTTTTTATTTTATGAATTTAATAATGAACTCTGTCTCGTATTATGTCCAAACACACCGCGCCTTCTAAGTCAGGTGACTGTAAATGCGCAAAAAACTGTTTCCATTGCAGTTTTGCGAAATATTCCGTTTTGTAATTGCCTGAAAAACCACCTCATGCGAGCGTAAAACTTTTTTGCGATAAACGGGAGTTTTTGCGAAATTGACGTGTTGCCATTTTGCGTATTTTCAATTTGCGCAATTTGAAGGGTAATGGAAACGCGGCTAATAACGCATTAACAGCATAGACAGTAAAATAAATGGACACAGCGACCCCATAGACTTCAACGGAGAAAAGTGAAGTTAATTAGAAGCACTCACTTCCTGATGGCTGAGCGTACTGCGCAGGCTCAAACTGAGCTTGATGACGTAGATGCAGGGGTTAAAGTGAAAAAAAAATCCTGAGCCTGAACTTTGGGTTGGGGTGCGGACGGACTTATCTTCAATGGCACCATTTATTTTCAAGTATTACAGCTGTATCTTGATGGCATCTTTTTATGAATGAAAGCCAGTGTCACTAGTATAGCTAGCTACTGATGTCTCAAATTATTTCCCACAAAATTTTAAACATTAGGCTTCAAAAATTATCAAAACTTTTAATTTAAGTGACCTTGAAACTATCCTCATTAAACCCATAATAAATGTCATATTTACCTGTACCATACAGAAATTGAATAAGGCTATAAAACAGTCCGCACTGCATAAATTATAATATGAAATATAGATTCATCCTTATCAAAGCTACAAGCCTTCTTTAGTCAAGTTCAGTTAGTAATTTTCTCTGTTGCCTCTGTTCTATAGGTTAACTTTACTGACAGACAGAATTAGTGGCTCCTGTCACTTTAAGATCTGTCGCTGCTGACAGGATCTCACGCATCTCATTCTCTCACTACTATTTAATTCCATTTAAGATTTTATTCAACTCATTTAAGACTGTTCTTGTGAGGATATTCGACAAAACGGACATTCTGGCATAAGTGTGTGTGCTATTGTTCGTTCAAGAGCGAAAGAACTCGATACTGGCGCGCGTCTTTCTGTGCGTCGTTTGTGTGTGTGTGTGTCAGGAGGACATTCACTGACAGCGCGTTCTCTTTTGTCTTGTCGCACAGGAATGGTTTAAAGCCTTTGCGTGAATAACCCTAGCTAAAGGATGACAGAAAGAACGGATGGATGCTGCGTTAATTGCGTTAAATATTTAAAAACGTTAAAGCTAGACAAAAATGAATAGCATGCGTTGACAGCACTTGTCATACATTGCTGACAGAAAATACTGCGGTTTGATGTTGACTGGTTTTCATTGTAAGTTAGGCCTACGCAGAATGTTTTTTTAGTCAGCTACACAGAATGTTCTACATTTAATATTTAGCTAACAGTCTGAAGTTACCTATTATCCTGTCCTGAGCTAATTTCCTGAATCAACCAACTCACATCTCCTTTCTTTCTTTTCATCCATGATGACATTAGTCACCTCACCTGTTGTTGTTTCTGGCGTTTCATCACTGACTGTGTCGCAATCTATTTTTTTTTTATCTATGGTCGCAACCGCTATCCCTGCTCAGTAGAACTTTCAGTGAGCTATTTTACACAGGCTCAGTCCTGCTCCTCCGTGGCAATGATGGCGTGCGGTTAAAAATCACAACAAACTAATTTGAAAGTGGCATAGGAAATTACGCCCGTGGGTAAGACATCATCCCCGGGCTTTGAACTTGCGCTTCATGCTTTCACCGACGACGCTAACGTGACGTATGGATCTCAATAACACTGTGTCGCCAGGAGGACCCGCCCTGCTCTGCTTCTGATAGGCTTGTAATGTTAGTTAGAGCTGGGATCCTCTCATATGATTGGTAGGTGAAATCAATTGACTCGAAAATATTAAACCGCATAAGTTCCCAATTTTTTTTTCCCTCACGGCCGCACGCCGGAGATCCGGTGTTGTGCCGAATTTCGACCCCCGCCAAATTATTACCCCCCTAGCATTGGTAGGTTTAGGAATAGTTGTGGGGGAGGGGGTAGGATTAGGGGCGGGGTTGGGATTAGGCAATCAGGTACTGACTTCAACGAGGGGGGTAATAATTTGGCAGGGGGTCGAAATTAGGCACAACACCGGCACGGTGCCGGAATACTTTAAGCCCTGTAGATGTGACGTGAGCAACCGGTCTGACAGTTGTACGTCTTCTAGTAGCTGTGCCAAGAGGAATCTGAATCATTCCCTTCCGAATCTTGCAGAGACGGAGAGCTCTAGTAGGAGCTGTCCATGAGCTAGCAGCAGGAGCAACTTTATGACTCTCCATGTGCTTCTCCCTTGATTTTATGCCTCCACGTCCCCCTGATTGCCTGCGAGCTTCTCCTCCTGTCTATACGGTAATTTCTGTGCGACAGAGAGTCGTGTGTTCGCAATCGTTAGCCTATTTTTACAAAAACTGCTTCTACGGGGCCATAACATAAGATACAAGGTAATGGAGCCTTTTATACATTGTGGTGTTTCTTTAGAAATAAACAATGGGCAAATGGAGACTTTAAACGCCTCAGATTTAACGTTATTCGCTGTCAAAGTTAGGGTTGTCGCGATAACCGCAATATTGCAATACCGCGCTACTGACAGGCCAACCGCAGAGGAATGCAAGTCACCGCAGCAACCGCCAAACCGCGTTTTCTTTTTTCATAAGGCCACCCTTCGTAGTTCGTACCATGTGTATTGAATGTTAAATAAGTTAATAATGATAACAAGACTGTTTATCATGGTGATTTGTACAGAGGCTTCGTGGATTTGGACTTAAGCCTAAACAGACAGTGAATGAGATCGCCTGAGCGCGTGCGATTACCTGCGTCTGTTTTTGAAGTCAAGTCATGTATATTCGTGAAAAGGTTGCCGTTTCCAAGGAAAGCGAAATATTTGTCGTATCATCCTTTTAACGTGTAAGGGTATTTACCATGAATGGCGTCAGCGCTGGTCAGCATTACACAGCGCGAGGAAGCAGTGGGGGGAAAGCAGCGAGTCACGCATTGGTCTCTATTAAGTGAAGCATTGCTTCAGCTTTGCCCAAAAGTGAAGCATTGCTGGCCAGCTGAGCCTTGAAAAGTGGAGCTCAAATTTAAAAAAAATAATTAACGCCTTGTTTCATTACATCTATCATTTAAGGAATTAGCTTTTGAATGAACGGTTTAATGACTCACTCAAAGACAGTCCGTTGGCATAACAATGTAACTGCGCGCTGAGTGACAGTCTTTCAATGCGCAGAGACACTGTTTAGTTTCGGTTACATTGTTTTTTTGTATGCTGACCACACGTATTTATAGCAACAAATAAATATAAATAAATAAATGGCGGTAATACCGCATATCGCGCTATTGAGCCACTCAAAATTACCGCAAGGGAAATTCCTTCACCGCGACAGCCCTAGTCAAAGTGACGCCAAAATGAATGGGAGTCAATGGAATGCTAACAGCAGGTGAAGGCTTGCTAGCCAATGGCAGCCCCCAGGTTAGCTTCAGTTTCCGGCTGATGGATTACCCCCTTGATTAACAGCTAAAAACAGCTACATAAAAGCAGACTCTATTTGACCCTATGAATCACCCGTAGTTCAAGCCAGGGGTGCCAGATCAGCAGTTTTTCCCTATACTAACCTCTTAACGCCGCCGGCAGGCCCATTTGCCATTGCATGTTTAAAACAATAATATCTTAGTAAAAACCTAAAGTAATATTGCCAAACTATATATCATTTGAAAGCTTAAAATCTCTAGTTTTCATTTTTGGTGGCTGTTATCTAAAATAAATTACAGAGGAGCAGTAATTTATCAATTTGCAACAAGAATATTTCATATTCATTAGGAGTATTTAGGCCTTTATTTTGAAATAACAATAAACATGAAAAATCATGAAAGATTGGTAGAAACCTCAGTTTGTTTTCATGCCATGAGTTCAAAAGATAACACCAATTCCATTTTATGAGAAAAAAAGGTCTGAAAATGTTTTAAATATAAAGAAAAATGTATGGATTCTCGATTTGTGATGCGGCTGCGAGCTATAACCCTATAACGTAGTCTTTTTATGCATTTATTAGAGGTTGAACTCAAATCAAACACTGCCAACCACCCATACTACTTCTGAATAGGATGTCTACTTCATTAATTGTATGAAAATTATGGAAATACATGGTTCAGATCACTCAAAACATATATGAAAATGGAGGCGCCCTTATATGGGCAGTAATGGAGTCTGGTGTTCACCTAGTGAAAAAGTTTGGTACTGCGCCCGAATAAAATCTTACTGAAAGCTCATTTTTTGAGATATCAACCTAAAATTTGGAATACAACTTGTTCAGATTTTTGTCTTTAATTTTCTTGCAGTTTTAGAGTAAAATATATTTTGTAATATATATATTTTATATAAAATATTAATAATTATATTTTTACATTACACAATTTCATAAACTCAAACTTATATAACTTTTTTTCTGTTTCATTTTTAATAATTTCTAGACTTCTACAATAATCTGGAAAATGTCTTCTTTAAAACAAGACCAGCCATAGGTCTATATTCCAAAGCATTCCTGAATTACAACCATTTAAGTTTGGATAGTGATTTTTATGTCTATGCAAAAAAAAGGGGGGTGACAGTTAACAGGCTAAACATTATTTGTAGCGCGCCTCTCACCCAATCGCAAATAACTCAGTGCTTTGTTACTTCTAAAAAGAAACTAAGTGTCATCTTTCAAATTCTGTCCCTTTTATCACGAAATTCAAACAATAAATGGCGTTTTGACGCTCCTAAATGTGACGTGACGGATCGCTGTAGCGCCTCAGTTCAAGCAGCAGCGCGAGTCTATTTTTCCAATTTAAAACAAATTATATCTAGAAAAACATGCATAAATATCAGAAGGTACGTTGAAAGTTACAGTACAACTTACTGAAATCCGTTTCATGTCTCATGTAATCACTCAATCAGTGTTTCAACCGTGGAAAAATGTCAATAAAACTTGCTTGTGAAACTTGAAACTTGCTTGTGAACTATAAATTAATGTTGCATTTTCCTCATGAAAGTCATCCGTTTGTTAGTTAGCTTTAAAAAAAAACTAAAGAGGAGATTATTTACTGTTAATTATATATGCATGTTTGAATAAATTTGCCATGAAGACAAGTGCTTATGAAAACTACCTTATATGTGTAACTGAGTTGTAAACATTTCAGCTTTTGTTTGAGTGTAAATATTATATCTGGAAATAAATAGCAGTTGAATATAATAGCTCTGTTGTTAATTTTAACCTCTAATATTATAGTGTACCAAATGAGAAGGTTCTCTGTATAGTTTGCAGCATTATTTGGGAGAGATTTTTTATCCATAAGAAAAAACAAACTCGGTATTGGCTGAGAAATGTCATATCAGTGCATCTCTAACATACATACATACATATACATACATATATATATATATATATATATATATATATATATATATATATATATATATATATATATATATATATATATATAAAAAGGGAAAGAGTTGATGCCAGAAACAACCATATCCAGTTTCATGTCCACCATCATTTACAAACAGACAACTAACTATAAACACAGAGCTTGTTTACGGACATGGAGTCTATATGAGTGTAAAGTACAGTCATACCTTCTCTGTTATAGGGAAGAGCAAAAGTACAGCGCACACAGGCCTTGGCACCAAACTGAGAACTTCGGGCTCCAGACCGTACACATCCCCAAACTGCCAGGTGGGTACCAAGCCAAGCTGCCGTAAAAACTTAACAAAAGTATAACACAACACGTAGATTAAATACAAATCATATAAGACTAGTAAAGGGATTTGAAGTGTATGAACATAGACACCAAAGGGCCTACACAATCCAAAAGCATTTCTATTTAAACATATGAATAATAAACTAATGTGGAACATAAAATACATTTTACATTAGTACAAATGCAATAAAGTTACAAACAATATACCAAGCGCAGTATTATTGATAAACATAATAAATCAAAGTTGATAATTAGCTTTATCACAAGCGTGCTTTAATAAACCTGATTCATTCATTTGGCACAAGTTTTGAATCCTAGACACACCCAGATAGTCGAGACATCTACTCACTTGGTTCATAACCTGTAAAGCAGACACAGAACACAAAACAGTATCATATAAAATATGATGTAAAAGACATAAGTTGCAGCTTACCGTTCCAGCTAAAATGAACCCACGAACGATAAAAAATTAACGTTAAATGACCGGCGAAGGACCGTTTGATCGGGGAGAAATTCATACCTCTGGGTTAGCTTCCAGTGGTAACCAGCGTTGGCCCTCCATCTCAGATTAAGCCCCGTCTGATATCCTAAATAAAAAAAAGATGATATTGCTTCCACGAGCAATGGTGTGGTGTGAACGCTTTGACAGCTGAGGAGGAAGTTCAATGGAATATGTGCGCACGCGCGTGTAAGTATGTGAATTCAGCGACTGGCCATTCAGGCTTAAATTCCAAAATAAAAGTCACAGTTACCATGGAAACGATCTTTTATATTAGGGACAAATGTGCCTTTATGCGGCATCATTCGTGTTGTAGTATCACGAAGATGTTTGATAGTCTCACCACGCTTACATGCACATCAGTTTTCTATTAAAGTCGATATTGTGGTTAAACCTTTATTCTGAAATCTTCTCTTTTTGTGCTTTGTAATGATCTAATCCTTTACTTGCTTCTTCTTCTTCTTTCATAAGGCTACTCTAGTTTTATGTTAGTGATATTATGACATTTTTCAGGTCCGTCAGAAGTTTTGGTTAGCTGGTTAGTTCCTGTGATGTTGTAGGCTGTCACGCAACAGATTTAGTCCAGTGGGTGGCGGTATTTACTCAACAGTTGATTATAAACGCTATTAACCGCGAGCGAAGAAGAATTTTAAGATTCCGCGGCAATGTTTGGTTTTAAATTTGTATAAACCGGTTTAATTGGTATGCGCAGTATTTGTTATCCGAATAGAAATGCATTATAACAAGAATAAAGATAAACCACATCAAGCCTCGAGTTTGTCGTCTTCTTTTATTGCTGGTGAGTAACGTTAACGTTAGTCAGAATATAGCATCATATTCTTAACGGCTGTGTTTTATTACGACATTGTATAATCAGTCATGTCTTTTCTACAGCCCCCAATGATAAAAAGGAAAACATACGACTGGGCAAGCAGACGGCGTCTGTATACGCAGCCAAGATAAAGACGAAAATACACAGTAAGAAATAAGTTACTCAGAAATGCCAAACAGGGTAATCTGTTTGCAGTTGGCTAAGTTACTTGTGCTCTTTTATAAGTTGACCGATGACCATAACTTTTATTATGGCAATGAAGATATTAATAATGTTTTCCAGATACCTCATCATTCTTCAAGTTCTCTTTGAAAAGCAACAACAAGGCTCTGGCCCTGGCTCTGGTTGCCCAGAAGAAGAAGAGCAGGGAGCTGGAGGAAGAGGTGGTGCGGCTGAGGAAAGATGCGCAGACCACTAATTTCGATCTTGCTTATCAGCGTCATAAAAGCAAACAATTGGTGAGACTGTTAGATTGGAGTCTGGTTATATAGAATTTAATTATTCTGGCACGAAGGTTTGTTTTTGTAGGTTAGTTTCTAAAGTTAGGCACAAAGTCTCTCTAAGACTCGTATATCATATTGAGCTTGTACTGGACTTTAAAAACACTTTAAAGAACATGCATAACTTAATATTTTTATTTGTATTATTATTATTTTTTTACAATAGATGTAGTTAAAGCTGCTGTCCGTAATTTTTTTAAGTTAAAAATAATCCAAAAGAATTAAATAAAAAAAAACATATTCTGCCAGTGGTCAAAACTATCTGCTTGCCATAGCTAGATTCAAAACGGTTAGCTTGTAATAATGATTTTAATTCCAGTGGTACTGGTGGGTTTCCGCGGGAAATTCAAGCATGTCTTTGCGTCATTCCGTCACACCCGTACACATAAAGAAGGAGTTTCGGCTAGCCGGCTATACTGCGCGTGACGAGATGTTTAGATGTATAGGCTTTTCTCGCAGCACTTTACATAATTAAACTTATGGCATCCAGAAAGATCCAAACAACAATCATCAGTGTCAACTGGAGATTCAGCAGTTATAAAACCCAAAAGACTTCGTACTTCGGATTTAAGGTGGCTAGAGAAAGAGAAAGAAACCGTCTCATGCGAACACAAGGATTTAAACATCGGCGGGGCTTTTGAAAAGTGCGTGAACTCCGTGTTTTGAAGGGGTTCAAAACGGAAGAAGAGACGGCTTTTTTCTGCTGAACAAGTAAGACATTTCAATAGTTCAATCGTGTAACAGTACGTTTTCTTAATTCACACAGTTATGGAGTTTCCTTTGTTGTGCCTTTCTCGTTTTGCTATTATGGAGAATATGAATTCTGAACTACACAGGTAACCATAAAACACATTAAATTTAACATTAGTCACGCAATGCTGATGTCGTTAACATGAACAATTTGAGAACAAAGTAGGCTATAATTTGCACGGTTGCTGAAAATCTCGTTGATTAAATCTAACGAAGCTTATCATGTCGAATGCTTTTTCCCCCTTAGTTGGTCAGAACAAAAATGGATTTTACTTACTTGTTCAGAAGACATTTTCTTATGAAAAGTCTTATGTTGGTCAAACTTTCAAAAAGTGAATCTGTGATTCTGTATGACAGTATCCACACAGCGCGGTGACTGACAGCACCACTCGCCTCAAAGCACTGTGTTCATCCGCGCTGTTTCATGCCGATTTACAACCCACGTAAAGATGATAATTCCGCGAATCACTGCAGTTACAGATTTCGAACAGAGAGATGGCGACAAAGAGGAAAAGCTACGGACTGCAGCTTTAATGTAGTTTCTTTTCTTTCCCTAGTTTTCCATTATACGAGAGTTTTATGACTCTTCTCTTAACTGGATGACAAAGGCTGTTGACATTTTTTGTAATGATGAGGTAAGCTGTCAATATAATTTTCTAATAATTAAGTTATATGGCTAATTTTCTTGTTGTTAATAATAATCAGAATGACATGAATTATTATTATTTTAAAGACTTCAGCCAAGCTTTGTTGATTGTTCACAAATAGCTAATTGTTAAATTATTATTGTTGTTCATTAATAATAATAATAAATATTATTTTTAAAGGTTCCAGACAGTATGGACACTGAACACAACACCAGTAAAGGAATGAGAACACAGTGTAAGCTGTTCATTATATACAAGTTCCCTTAAGAATGTCAGTCAAGGTTAATTTAGAAAATATATTCAAGTTTGAATGTTTGGCACTGTTCGAAAAGCTATACATTTTCAATGTATCTTGATGCAATATATCTTGATGCTGTTATTTAAATTCTAATTAGCTATTTATTTATTTTTCAGACCAAATGTTTGAAATGGAAAAAGAGGTTGAGAATTTGCCAGAGAGACCGTTGTGTCCACAGCAGGGCAATGTTGCGTCTGTACCAGTGGATACAGCTATGGTTAAAGAGCCTACAGCCTGTGATGTTCTCAGCCAAGAGAGAAACAGTCCAGCACAGCAAAACACTCTATATGACTCTGAAATGGAGATGACTGTTAATGACACTGCTGCTGAAATTGTAACAGTTGACACAAATGCAAGAAGAACCTCTACAGAAGAACATCAGGAAAAGAAGGATTTGTGTCATCCAGGAGAAGATCGTGAGCATGTATCTGCAGAGGAAGACTTACCAATTGAATTTAGTAGGTCAGATTATACATCAGCTGTGCCAAAAGAGTTGACCACTGTGACACAGCAGTGCTCTCCCACTGTTCAGAACGAGGTGGTGAATGAGCATGAAACGGAATCAATAACTGCACGCAGGAAGACTCACGTCACCTCTCGTTGCACTAAAAGTAGCAGGCGCACATGTAAACGGAAAGAACCAAACCCTGATCCAAGGAAAATGTACCTTATCTCCCAAGATCCTTCTAATGACATTTTTAATGATTGTTTCAGTGATCTTGAGCTTCAGAATTCTGAAAAAAGAAAGACAATTTCTTCAGATGGAAATATTTCAAGTAAAGCTGCTCAAAACAAAGCAAAAGAGTCTCATGCTACCCAGGAACCTAGGAGAACATTTATAGTTCTAGATGAGCTAAGACCTCAGAAGAGCAGGAGGACCAAAGTCTCATCCCTTATGATGGATCACAGTACATCGGATGTGCATGAAACTGTTGAGTCTGCTGGTACTGATGTGCATGCAAGTGAGAGTGCAGTTCAAGTTAAAAAACATAAAAACAAAACTCTGGCACAAAAAAACAGAGGAACATTTGTGATACAGCAAAGTCAATCATTCAACAGTCCAGAAGGATCACAGGAGGTAGCACCAGGAACCCAAATGACAGCTCAAGATATTGGTTTAGATACTATTGCACTACAGCACAAGGAGCCTGAGCATGTTTCTTATGAGATATTGAAGGAAAACACCTATCATCCAGAATGTACACAAGATGTGCATATCAGCCCTGTACAGGAAGCCTCTGAATTTCCATCATCAGTTCCCGGTAAAGCTAAGAAACACAGAAAAGAGGGGGCAAATAAAATAAAAAAATGGAATGCTGCAGGAAAAGAAAAATCCAAAGCATTAACAAAGAAACAAAACAGTTGTGCTGTGAGTATGGATAAAAATGTGTCGACTGAAAGGCAAGATGTGATTGATCTTCAGAATGGAGCAGGATACAGGTCTTTGTCTAATACTTTACAACTACCAAGGAAATCTCATTGCTCAGAGGAGGACCTCAGGGATGAACATAATGCAGAAACTCCTGAAATGCGCTGCCCTTCCTCTGTTGACAAGCTTGATCAGGCTGACCATATCAATATGGATGCTCTTAACATAGATCTGGACCAAACCAACAAAGCTCATGAGAGCAGGTGCAGGAAAACGTATGTAATTTCATCTTCTCATGAATCTCTAAATAAAGAAATGACTGACCTTGGTGCTTCCAGCAGAACATCATCTTCTGAACATCATCTTCTCACAAATGAAACGGATGATGTTTCACCTGTCATGAACTCAAGCATGTTTATCATAGACAAATATAATGCGACTTCAGACCGTTTCAGTGAACACACAAAAGACCTTCAGCTCACAGAGGAGAGGCCTCCATGGGAGACCATAGATGGTTACGCTGAAATGCTCTCAGTCGAAAGCTCTGCCCACAGCCCTCAACCAGAGGCCCGCTCTCAAACTATGAACATTTACCAGGACCAGGACTCAGAATTGAGGCACCAAGCTCCAGGTAATCCTTATGTGTTGGTCTAAATGCTTAGTCAGTTATTGTATTTTGCAAGGTGAATCAAATAATGCATTTATTTTTTCCCCCTTTTTTCATTTCACATATTTGTCTTATATTTGTTTGTATTTTATGTTTTTATTCTGTGAACAGAAGATAGCAGGGTTATGAAGAGTCTAACAAATACAGACGTTAACTCTTTAGGCAGAACACGAAGAAGAGAAGCACCAGTCTCCTACAAAGAGCCAACTCTCAATTGGTGAGAATAATATAATGATCCATATATACATATATATATACATACATCAAATATAATATGATTTATTTCTGCCTTGATACAGAATCTGTAATAATTTTGGATAACTTTTGTATTTTCTTTCATTGATTTATTTATATATTTGTTTGCAGCAAAATGAGGCGTGGGGACAAATACTCTGATACAAAATTCTTAAACTCTCCGGTGTTCAAAGATAAGAAGAAGAAGAAGAAACAAACTTAGGAGTGAATTTCCCATTGATTGATTTCAGTCTTTTATTTAATTTTAATTTTTGTTATTTTGTTTTATTTACTTTTTTATGCAATTAAAATGTTTAATGGATTGATCTTAAAGTAAGCATTTTAATGACAGCTGTCAATTAGCCTTCAGATCTCAGCATAGTTTCATTCTTGTGCATTTAGGCAATTTCGTTTGAATTTTAAATGATATTTATTTCTGTGGTTAATAAAGAGAACGTGCTCTATTTGCTGTTTATCATTAACTTGATTCTGCTTTCCAACCCTAAGTTGTGTTCCTACTGATCATATGGAAGTAATCTCCAATCTCTTTCCTAACTCATATACATGAACGTTGTATCTGTGTTATGTAACCGAGCACTGGCCGACAGTGTTAAAGTGATTAAAGGACTGAATGAATTATTTAGAGGACTGTTCACATGAGAGGACTACGATTCTGAGATCGAGTAGGGGTGTCTGTTCAACCAGTTTATACTGTCTGAAAGCAGATGGAAGCTTCTGATATAGGCATCTTATTATGCTATCAGGAAGTGTTAGTTTGAGGTAAGTTTAGGTGTTTTCTTAGTTTACAACAATTTGTATGTGTTTTTTGTATGTATCAGTCTTTTTGTGTCAAGGCATAAGTAGATGCATTACATTAAAATGTAATTGATTTATATTCATGGACTGTTCTTATTTCATTAGACATTAGTAACTTGTTGGATCAACCCACTGTTTTTGTACATTGTAGTCTTATCAGATGCCCCAGGTAACCTAACACAAGTCTGTTAGATACTCTGTCAAATTTTCGTCTCACTTTTCCTGTTCATTGGAAGCCAAAGTTTGCAGTTTGCTTCCTGTGTTTAGTGTTGCCCCTGGCAGAGGATTAAGTACTATTTGATTCTTGTAAAGCATTTTGTACTGTTGGTTTTAAAAGTGCTTTATAAATAAAGATTATTATTATTAATATTATAGGTAAAGTTTAACTCATGTTTTTTTTTTTTTAAAACCTATAATGCTTATTTTTGAAATTTCCTAGCATTACTTTTATAATAGAATTTCAACTATTTTTCCAGACTGAATTTTGGCATAAAGAATTAAGTGTCTCAACTGAGGGTATACAACATGGAGGCCAAGCGATTGAAGAGGGATGTTAAAACTTTGCTGTAAGTAGTGTGAAATAAATTCACTAAAGTGTATCAGGATAAATAGGATAATAAATTTACTTATGCAGGGAAGGACACACATAGAACAAATCGTAAAACTTTTAACTGTTGCTGAAAATGTCTGTATATATATTTTAACATCTTTTAGTGGTGAATATATTGGACAGCGACTCAGAGAAAATGGTTTTGATCCAAAAGGGAAAAGCACTTTTACAATGTTAGATGATTTGGTAAGTGGTCAATATTAAAACATCCGTTTAATTTCAAAGGTTATATTGTCCTATTGAGATGAAAATTTAGTTGTGAGTTGATGTTTTTATGTTATAATCATAAATGTTTTGGAAAAAAAAAAACTAGATTCAACTAGCTTTGGGCTTGTATTGCTAAATATGCATCTTTACACATAGGCCCATTATGATTTGGCTATAAGTGTGGCTTTGTGGAGGCGCAATAACGATGATGAGAAGAATTTAGTTGAGAACAACTACATGTGAGTAATTTATATAACTGAAATTTGTGTATGTTTAATAGTTTAATGCTATTTTTGCAGTGTTTGCATACAATCACATTTGACCATGCCATATCTTTGTAGAGGAATTGGAAGTTTACGACATATCAGCCAGTACCCTAATCGTCTGGAAAGAGAAGCAATGATTCTTTCTTGCTTTGCTGGAATGCTTCTGGTAAGGTTCAGAAGAGAGTATAATTTGCCGGTTGCTATGTAATTCTAAAGCTGACAAAATAATAAATAAATATACAAATAAATGTAAAAAACAAAAGTAATTAAAATAGCTCGACAAATATTTTCAAGTGGTTTCCCTAAATTCAACTGAAAATGCTTGGTTTGCAATGGAGGTTGAATTCTTTCTATTACAACTATAATTGTGTTTTTTCATTTATTTATTTATACATTTAATTATTTTCACATTTATTTTTTCATTTATTTGAGGTAAAACGCCCCCCTCATTAGCATACAGACAGACCAGAGCTCAGACTGGCAGTGCTGAAGTTTTGAGGCCACAGTGACACCTTGTGGTGTGGCCATAGACTGTGACCAAATGGTCCGCAAATAAATAAATTTAGATATAAATAGATATATAAATGTAAATAAATAAATGAATAAATAAATACATTTGGAAAAAAATATTATTATAAATAAATAAGGAAATAAAAGTATATATATATATATACAGTATATATATATATATATTATTTTTTTTTTACATGTCTATGTATATTTATTTATGTATTTATTTATTCCATAGGTTTTCAACAGCAATTCTGTTTTTGACAAGTTGTATCATGTCCTCTCATTTTCAGAACAGCTTACCTATAGAAGACATTCTGTCTCTGTACAGTTGCAAACCATCTGCATCTTACCCTCATAATCACAATAAGGTATTAGATATTATTTATTATTTGAGAGTGTGTTTGTCACAAAAGTGAGCAGATGTCATGCAGGATAAAAGTGGGAGGGATATACATGGGGGCTTATACTATGAAGCCAGTTTAGGTGGCTAGCCAGGTATGTTTCAGTTTAGTTGGTGCCAACACTGGGTTTTAGGCACAATGAAAGTGGTTTGGCTTTTAGCTGTGTTCATCGCCATAGTGACTTACGCTCCACGGCTAACCTGCTCTGGGGCAACTTATGCTCCAGGTAAGAGATTTTAAACCAAAATCGGAACAAAATCAGCTGTGAGCAGAATCCCCTGTTTCTATACTCCAAATTAAAGGTCAATAGATAGCAAATTATTTTTAAAGAAAAAATCATCTGGCTTTTAGCAATGCTTGTTTATAATAATAATATTGTATGATTTAGATATTATTTATGTAATTACCAGTATTATACCCATTCATTACACATGTACAATTTTAGTTGAACAACTATTATTATGCCCTTAGTTTAAATGATTAACTTAAACATATAAAGGTAAAATAAATAAGCTTTAGAATCAACAGATAAACTTCACAACTTTTACTTGCATTGATATAGCAAGATTTTTTCTTTTAGTTGTCCTTTCATAGACAGCTCTTTTCTTCTTGCTGTGCAAATTTGTTTAAATGCGTAATATTTTTCAATCTCGTAATTTTCAGAAGAGAGAAGTGAATCGCAGTTTCACTATTCCACAGCATGTGATTGGCTGTTCTCTAGCGGTCACAGCTAAACTCCTAAACTCAGGATCAAAGCCTGAGTTGACAGAGAAAGTTGATGATCAGCATCATGGTACCAACAAAGCCTGATTGGATTGGTTTGGTTTTGTCAACTCAAAACTAAACCTGTAACCCTGGGTTTGTTCAACTACCATCATGGTACGGTCCCATGATCTGTAAATAGAAAGCCTTTAATTGTTGTTTAGTCTGTCATTTAGTCTGTCATTTCACATTATACTTCTCAACCAGGAGGTCAGGACCCACTAGAGGGCCTCAACAAACATAAAAGAGGTCTGCAGGATGACTTTAAATTAACCATTTTTATTTATTTATAGTTGTATGTATTAATCTAACTGCATTACTAAAAATGTAATACAAACTAAATAAAAACAGAAATAGTAATGATAAAAAAAAACAATAATATATGTTTTTTTCCTCAATAACTTTTCTTGATAAATATAGGCCTATAGTTCTTGACACTTCTGAAATTACCAACTGAAACATTATTAAAAAATATATATACACTCACCGGCCACTTTATTAGGTACCCCATGCTAGTAACGGGTTGGACCCCCTTTTGCCTTCAGAACTGCCTCAATTCTTCGTGGCATAGATTCAACAAGGTGCTGGAAGCATTCCTCAGGGAGTTTGGTCCATATTGACATGATGGCATCACACAGTTGCCGCAGATTTGTCGGCTGCACATCCATGATGCGAATCTCCCGTTCCACCACATCCCAAAGATGCTCTATTGGGTTGAGATCTGGTGACTGTGGAGGCCATTTTAGTACAGTGAACTCATTGTCATGTTCAAGAAACCAATTTGAAATGATTAGAGCTTTGTGACATGGTGGAAGTAGCCATCAGAGGATGGGTACATGGTGGCCATAAAGGGATGGACATGGTCAGAAACAATGCTCAGGTAGGCCGTGGCATTTAAACGATGCCCAATTGGCACTAAGGGGCCTAAAGTGTGCCAGGAAAACATCCCCCACACCATTACACCACCACCACCAGCCTGCACAGTGGTAACAAGGCATGATGGTTCCATGTTCTCATTCTGTTTACGCCAAATTCTGACTCTAACATCTGAATGTCTCAACAGAAATCGAGACTCATCAGACCAGGCAACATTTTTCCAGTCTTCAACTGTTCAATTTTGGTGAGCTCTTGCAAATTGTAGCCTCTTTTTCCTATTTGTAGTGGAGATGAGTGGTACCCGGTGGAGTCTTCTGCTGTTGTAGCCCATCCGCCTCAAGGTTGTGCGTGTTGTGGCTTCACAAATGCTTTGCTGCATACCTCGGTTGTAACGAGTGGTTATTTCAGTCACTGTTGCCCTTCTATCAGCTCGAACCAGTCTGGCCATTCTCCTCTGACCTCTGGCATCAACAAGGCATTTCCGCCCACAGAACTGCCGCTCACTGGATGTTTTTTCTTTTTCGGACCATTCTCTGTAAACCCTAGAGATGGTTGTGCGTGAAAATCCCAGTAGATTAGCAGTTTCTGAAATACTCAGACCAGCCCTTCTGGCACCAACAATCATGCCACGTTCAAAGTCACTCAAATCAACTTTCTTCCCCATACTGATGCTTGGTTTGAACTGCAGGAGATTGTCTTGACCATGTCTACATGCCTAAATGCACTGAGTTGCCGCCATGTGATTGGCTGCTTAGAAATTAAGTGTTAACGAGCAGTTGGACAGGTGTACCTAATAAAGTGGCCGGTGAGTGTATATCAGTTTATGTTAATAAAAAAAGCTTGAAAACGAGCAGCCTTGTCATAATGACAGCAGAAATACCAAAATCAATATTTTATCATACAGTATATGGAGGGCCTTCAAATTGAGACAGGTTGAGAGCCGCTACTTTATACCGTACAGACATAAAGTACATCATGAAAAGCTATTCCAGAATCCCTCTTTAATTGCTTTAACTGAAGAGTTTTTATGTCATAAAATTTCATTTTAGAAAATGAGAAAAAGCATAGTTTTAAATTAATTTGAATGTCTTTTCCTCAACAGGGCAACATTGTTCACCCATTCTCCCTCTCTTATCATCCATTTGCTATGCTTAGTTCATTCAAAGCAGTAGAGCGCTCAAGAAAACACAGTATGTGACCTTTTACATATTTTAATAAAAACATTGTTAATGCATAAATTGAAAGTGATCACTAAAAATAGAACAAAAGGTTTTGTTGATTGTTAATCATTGCCTTTTGTCTCTTTACCAGCCCAGGCGCTGAAACGCTGGATCAAAGAACACAGTAAACAGAAAGTCTCTGGAGTAACAGAGACACTGGAGTCCTCCTCCTCTTCCAGCTCCTCATTTAGTGTGAGTGTAAGTCTGCTTTTTCTCAGATACATTCTACCACAATCTGTTATAACACTCAGTAAAAAAAACAATGCACTCATAAAGTTGAAAATTACTGCCATCATGTGCTCAGATTATGTACTGTAATTGTTGCACCTGTCTTTTGACAAAAACAGGACAGTGAGGACTCTTTAAAAGATGAAACCGGTCACTATGAGGGCTCACAAGAATCTCTGCAGGACTGAAAACAGCAGCTGTCCAACAAGCAAATATTCATTTGCATGGTTTATTATACACATTTACCATCCTTGCAGGTGTTTCCTGGTTTGTCTTTATTGTTAAAATTGTGGTTATTTCCCAAGACTTTGCTCACAGCCAGGGAATAATAAAAAGAGGAGATTCATTTAGAGTAATCTATTTTATAAATACCAAGATGACTTATTTACTGACTTTCTTAATATATGTCCAATGTTTTCACACAGTATCTTTTAGAAATGGAAAGTGTGTATAATTATTTTCCCCATGCATTCTCATTTTATAGTACATGTGAATGAAGATGCAATGTTAAATGCACTAATCAATAAAGTTCTTGAACTACTTCTTAACTCAGTAACACGTGGTACATTGCAGATGTATTTCATTCTGTTGGTGCATTCCATGTCATAAGCAATAATTCCATCTCATAAAGAATCTCATTAGCGCCTGGATCAAAACAGAGGAGGGCAGCTGAGTTCAGTAATTTGCCAGGTAGGAATTTTGATTTGATGAATCATGGCTTTTAAATCTATGGATAGGATTAAGAGGTAAGCACCACCATCAGAATGTCAAATCCCAGTCATTGAGAGGACAAATAAAGTTTGATCCACCATGTTGATGGAGGTTTATAAAGCAGACCTCATGCCCATAGTTTGTTTGACTGTTTCTCTTGTGTAGGACTGTTTCCTGAGGTTCACATCATAATGAGTAAGGTAAATGAGACGGTCAAAGACTTTTGCATTTTTTCGAGGAAACTTTAGCTTTGCATTTGACTATGAACAATTGTTAGCCAAATCCTTCTTATACTTAACTGTACTATGACTATGAACATAACAACAGAACCAATACAGTTGTGTGTATTGGTTTAATCGCTTTCTTGCAGATTATTTTTTACGAGGACAGAAACTTCCAGGGTCGCTCCTATGATTGTGGCACAGACTGCCCAGACATGCACCCTCATTTCAGTCGATGCAACTCTATCAGAGTGGAGGGTGGCTGCTGGGTCCTGTATGAAAGACCTGACTAGGTTTCCAGTATGTGCTAACCAGGGGAGAGTATCCTGAATATCAGCGCTGGATGGGCTACAATGACACTATTCGCTCATGCCGTACATTTTCCAATGTGAGTAATATGCATGTTTACGATTATTATTCTATCTTTGTAGTTTCCTGTTCTGAAACGTTCTCAGCACCCACAGTGTGTAAGCCTCTTGTTGTATTTTGTGTTGTTGTACACATTAACACGGCACACATTCAAACTCTTGACTTTAACTATTTGAAACTTGCAGAAAAGTGGTGGATCCTACCGCATAAGGATCTACGATCGGCCAGATTTCCAAGGCCAGATGATGGAATTCAGTGATGACTGCAGGTCCATCCATGAAAGCTTCCAGTGCCGCAGCATTCACTCTTGCAATGTCATGGAGGGATACTGGACCCTCTATGAGCACCCCAGTTTTCGAGGCCGTCAGTATTTCATGCCACCCGGCGAGTACCGCAAGTTCAGCGACTGGGGTGCCATGTGTGCCACCATTGGCTCCTTCCGCAAAATCACTGACTTTTAAAGTCCACATTATTAAAATAATTGTGCCTTTACTTGACTTGTCAATAAAATGTCACCAATCCATATGCTTTGCATTGTATTCGTGCTGCAGATGTGTCATTCACACTCAAGTTGATTATTACCAGCTATTACAGCTGTCCATGATCAAACGTATATAGACTATAGATTTTCTGTGGGGGATGCTTTAATTCCTAAAAGAGAAGAGGGCTACACTTTATTTTGATGGTCCACTTTAGACATTCTAGTAAATGAAAGCTTTAGTGTAAGTTCTGCCAGGAAGACTAAATTGTTACGTCACTTATTACCTATTACCAGGATGGTCCCTTCCCATACCTCCCAGGGGGTTGGCTGCGCCCCTGCCTTCGTCTTCAGGCAGGAAATGCAGATTCCGTACCCTCGGATTGCGAGCTACGGACGGGGCCTACGCCAAAGAACTTTATATCACAATACTTGCTTGCTGGGCTGTTAATAAATGCTTGTTATGTTATTTTGCCTCCCGAGTCTTTCTGGTACAACTATAAATAACTTCTCAACTACATGTCAACTAACTCTCATCAGAGTATTAGTAGACTGGGTTAGGTGTTAGGGTCTGGGTAAGTAAAATAATTTGACATGTAGTTACAAAGTTACTTATTATCAGTAGAATGTCTGTTGGGGGGGCCATCAAAATTTAGTGTTAGCAAATATTAAGCAGACAGTCTACTAATACTCTAATGAGAGTTAGTTGACATATAGTTGCAAAGTTACTTCTAGTTAGTAGAATGTCTAAAGTAGACCATCGGGGGAAAAACGTGTTCCCAAGATTAGTATTTCTTTATGTTTACCAATGTAAATTATTTAGAAATAATAAGGCATTCTAATCAATGTAAATTGATGGCACTTTTGCTTTTGGAATCAAGCAAGTTATACGTTATATATTATAACGACTGTATTGTAATGATAAACTAAATGTCACTACTGGCTAGCACGTAGATCATACCATGCTGGTAACATTATTAGTCATTGACAATTATTTTGATGAAGTAGCCATCCTACACTGGCACGGTACTGCAAAACATTAATTGGTCCAATGCATTAGTTAGTGAGATGAATAATGGCAATGGGACTGTCATTGACATCAAACTGTACATGGATTTTTTTTTTAACAGATACCCTCATGAAACATTTTCAGCCATGTGTGATTCACAATCAGCTATCCTTAAGGCATTTCACAATTTTAGAAGCAAAACTATCAGTTTAAATTCTTTCTTTTTTTTAAATGTCTAATCCTAAAATAAATGCAGACTAACACTATTGTTGTGTTGTTTCCCCAGACCTTTTCAGCAGCTTTCAACAGAGCAGCTTTTGCTGGAAAAACTAATGTTATGGAGGCAATCAAAGTCATTGTTTAAGCTAAAACAGACAGTCATGTTTGCAAATTTCCTGTACAGTTTCTGCTGACATGAGTACACTGTGATTTAAATGACAACGCAAACAGTAGTACCATTATCTTCTCGGATATATATTAGTATAGTTCCAGCAGAACTTGGCACCTGCACAGGAAGGATTTCAAAGCCCCTATAAACATGGGAAAGGTCTGTATGAATTACAATAACATATTAGTCATAAATGAATTATTATTGTGCTTCTCTCATTATCTACATATTGTTTTCTCTAGATTATCTTTTACGAGGACAGGAACTTCGGCGGCCGTCACCATGAGTGCGTGAGTGACTGCGCTGACCTGCATTCCTACTTCAATCGCTGTCACTCCATCAGAGTGGAAAGTGGTTGCTTCATGGTCTACGACCGAAGCAACTTCATGGGACACCAGTACTTTCTGAGAAGGGGCGAGTATCCCGATTACATGCGTATGATGGGAATGAATGATTGCATCAGATCCTGTCGTATGATCCCAATGGTAAAGACTGAAGCAAATCATTATCTAAAGTTATCAATGGTCTTGTTTTAATACATTGAAGTTAAGTGATCAGCCTTAACTCCTGTTTTGTTACCCATTTAGCATCATGGGTCCTTCAGAATGAGGCTCTATGAGCGCTCTGACATGGGCGGCAAGATGATGGAGCTCATGGATGATTGCCCTAATCTTATGGACCGCTTTAATATGTCCGACTTCCATTCCTGCCATGTGATGGATGGTCACTGGCTTGGGTATGAGCAGCCCAACTATATGGGCAGGCACTTCTACATGAGGCCTGGCGAGTACAAGAAGTACAGTGACTGGGGTGGCATGAGTTCCAGGATAGGCTCCATCAGACGAATCATGGATCTCTAATGAAAGGAGTCCTTTTGAAATGTCTGCTGTATGCCCTTTTTCACACACTAAATAAAATGGTGTCTGTGCTCAAGTGTATTCAGTTTTGTTCTTGCACCCTCTACCTGGGGGGGTCACTGCCTGAAGATGAGACTTGCTACAGGCTGCTAGACTACTTTACACTGTTCAGTAACCTGAATAAAACTATAAAGACAATTTCCTCCATGACACAGGTGTTGAGTGTTCTCTTTGCTTGTACTGCACATTAAACTCACTCATAGTGAATAACTTATGATAAACAGATGAAGTGTAAAAAAATTAAAGCTTTAGCGTAAGTTCTGCCAGGAAGACTCAATCAGTGCGTCACGTATTACCTCACTTCTAACCAATCATGTGCTAACACTCACAGTATAAAAGATTGGTACTTACATTTGTCTGAGTTCGCAGATACTGAAACTGCCAATTACCTCCATCCTCCACAACCGCCACCAAGATGGTACCTTCCCCTTCATCCTCCCCACCAGCAGGATGGTCCCTTCCTTTACCTCCAGGGGGGTTGGCTGCGCCCCTGCCTTCATCTTCAGCCAGGACATGCAGATTCCGCTACTCTCGCATTGCTCGCTATAAGGACAGGGCCTACGCCAAAGAACTTTATAAATTCATGCTTGCCGAGCTGTTAATAAATATACGCTTGTTATATAAATTTATCTCCAGAGTCTTTCTGGTAGAACTTGCTTTTTGATAATACGGCCAATGTTTAATACATTGTTTATGTAGATGAACATTAAAAAATAGGATTGTGTATATAATCTAAATACGGGGAGTGACTTTTGGGTATGATCAGTCGTAAGTATCAAATTACATTCATAATCAGCCTTACAGCCATTAAGTGTGTCCCCGGCTTAAGTGAACTCTGTGTGTACACACACACACACACACATATATATATATATATATATATATATATATATATATATATATAGTGTGTGTGTGTGTGTGTGTTTGGAAAATATATATATTGAGTATATTTATATATTTATATATTCCCCCATTTTACCCAATGCAACTCTATCAGGGTAGAGAGTGGGTGCTTCAAGGTGTATGAGCACCCAAATTATATGGGACAGCAGTACTTCCTGCAGGGGCAAGTATTCCGACGTGTGTGAGAGAGAGAGAGAGAGAGTGTGTGTGTGTGTGTGTGTGTGTGTATCAGCATTAAATATATATTTATATTTCTAATATATTTTCAATCGATTTTTTTATTGTAAGCACATTTTACACATTTTAGAGTGAGTAACCCTAACCGTAACATATATATATATATATATATATATATATATACATATATATATATATGTTACAATTAAATTAAATAATCAATAACATTAAATACTATAAATACATACATTTACTTTAAGCATGTTTATCATTTGATGAGATATGTAAATCCCACAAACCATTGTAAATTCATAGATTTAAATAAATATCACATGTCGAGACTTAAATGCAATTTGTAAACAATGTTTCATGACTTATTGAATATTGTTGATGTAAATTGTTGATGTAAAATTACAGATAATGACTAAAAAGAAATTTGAGTTGCAAAATATATGAAAGTAACTAAAAGGATGATTTTGTGGATCCTAATAGCAGATTGATAAACTCCTAGAGAAAACATTGAAGTCAGGTGTTGAAACCATGGTAATTAAGAACCTGACAACTAAAATTGAGATGAAATTTGAAACGTTACTAAGAACTAGAATGATTATTATTCTTTCTTTAAGATAAAACAAGCAGAAGCAGTGTTATAGGATTAACAGTTGCTAAATGTAAAATGTATAGAGAGGCATTTGATTAAACAAAAAAGGCCTGCTAGTGTTGACCATGAAAAGAACAGAGCTGATGTTTTGCTTTCAAAAGATAAGTTTGTTATTGGCTGTAATGAAACAGTTCGCTTATCTGAAATCTGATGTGTGCTGTGCCTGAAACTGCCAGTGCGACAGAGACTCAATCTGAGTGGAAATTTGTAATGTCTAAATTCCCTGAGGTGGGCAAAAGACAAATATAAATAATATGTTTATTTGAAACCGTATGTAATATCTGGCAAAGATGCCTTAAGCTGGGATAGAGTTAAAAGATGGTAGATAAAGTTAGACGTTCAGAGTGCAGTGTACCAGTCCCTCCCTCATTCAATGTCTCTCTCTCAGTCAATGTCAGCTAAAAACTGTTACCTGAGTCGGTGTCATAAGTGATAATACGCTATTTGTAGTGACATCTTTGATTAGGTTATTTTAGGACCAGTAACTTCTTTGTCTGATCTTAGTCCCCACCATGAAACGGGGGAGGGGCCGACGGAAATGTACACTGAATGGCCCTCATTTATCAAAAGTGCGTACACCAAATTTCCAGCGTACACCTGGCGTACACCCAAAACCACGGTGACTTTGAAATTTATCAATATGGACGTTGGCGTATGGCACGCTCAAATCCTACGCCAGCTCAGGAGGTGGTGTACATGTACGCACGTTTTGAGTTAGTGCGGAAATGCGCAGAAAAACAATTCCTAACACCATAAAATGCATAGTAATCATAATAAACATAGTAATTATTTACTTCAGTGTTTATTTTTGTGCAACATGGACTTCAATGTTTAATTTGTGTGACTTTACCAAAGCAGCATTTGATTTATAAGCATATGTATTCCTTCAGTTGCGAGCCTGTGCGCTTTACCCTGACGTTTCATGGTT